TGCTGGGATTGCGAGTGCCCACCCTAGGAAGTGTCACCCGCCCTAGAAGCCAGGATCCTGGGTGGGACACAAGGGACAGGAAGAGGGCTGCTGCCACCGCTTGCTGCTCCACTGCAGCCTGCCTCTGCCTGCCCGCCTGCCCTGGGCAGTTTCTCCTCCGTGATCCCGCTGCCTGCCGCCCGGTCTTGGAGCCAGCTGACCACGGACTGAAACCTCTACAAACTGAGCCCGACAAACTTTTCCTCTTTTAACTTTGGGTGCTGAGTATTTCGTTTCAGCAATGAGAAAAGTAATTAAAACAAGATTTAAAGCTGCCGAGTCATCCCCCCCCCCCCTCCTGCAGTTCCAGCACTCTGGGGGAGGAGGAAGAGGAGCGGGAAGGCTCCGGAGTGCCTTCCGCCTTCTCCGGGTGAGCGTTCTCGGGCAGCACAAACCCCGCCCGAGTACAGGGCCACACCCCCACACACACGTGTGGAGGGGTCCCCAGCCCTCGGCTCGGCTGGGCTGGTGGGTGGGGAAAGGGGAGCGCGCCCCCACCGAGCTCGGAGGAGTTTGCCCCAGTGCCAGGTCCCGCAGACAAGCTCCGCTGCGCTGCATCTGCTGAGCCGAGGCAGACAAGATCACCCGGGAAAACGGCGGAAGGGAGAAGCACTAGGCGGGGAAGAGACCGCACAAAGCCGCAGAGAGGGCCTGGAGCCGCAGGGGACTGCGTGTTTTAGGATGATCGGGAAGAGTCTGCCCGGAGATTGAGCTGAGCCTGATTAGGAATGGTGACAGGAGCCAGTCTGCTAAGAGGGGAAAGAGGAAAGCGTACCCAAAGCATAAACCTGTGGGTTAAGGAAAAGGAAGCTACCGCGTGAGCCTAAAGAAACCCACTTGCTATGGGATAGCAGGAAATGGGGTCAGGGAGCTGGCAGGGCCACAGCACAGAGGGCCCTGCTGGCCAGGACGGCCGCAAGGATGTAAGGACCGATACGGATGGGCTGAAACGTGGATACCGATAAATGAGCGGGGCAACAGAGGGGCTGTGGAGAGGGACGATGGGTGGAAACTCCATTTCACACCACTAGGTGGCAGCAGAATGTTTCCATGTCACAGTCGCGTCTGTCTTTCTGTTGGTGTAAATTTAAACTCACTGATACTCTTCACTTGGAAGTAGGCAAGCCTTCAGTCTGCAGAGTAGGGCTTTCTGATTCTGTGGCCACCACCCCACTAGCTGTGCAATTATGCCCTTAGTTAGGGGGCCGGGAAAAGTCAGAGCAAGCTGCCTCCCCCAGTGTCATCCTAGCTGAAGCAGCCTGCACCCACTTACAACACTGCGTTAACCCACAGCTACTGTCATGTGCTGGGTGTGCTGCAATGAGAAAAATGTACAAAACACAGCCTGAAGTGAGAAACTCTGGTCATGATAAAGGAATAAAAAGACCAGAGAGCAGGGCTGGAGGTGAGGCTCAGTGCGAGAATGCTGGCCTAGCATGTGAGGCTGTAACAACAATCAAATCGAGTCAAATTTAACTTAAAAACTTAGAAACATTGATTCAGGAAATGACTTGGAGGAGCCACTTACCCTAGAAAAGAGTCACCTTGAACTTTCCACCATAAAAATAGTGCGGAGTTAACAAGTTCCCACCTGCTCGAGCCATAAGTGGTCCACACACAACTGTCCTGTCAGGCAGCTTGTACCACCCGACAGGACTGTCCCGTGCCACCTGGTGGTTCAAAGCTGCCCAGCATGGGGACACAAATTATGGCCCTGTTGTGAACATGATGAGGAGCATCATTCTTTACTTCAAAATGCAATAAGCGTTCCATCCGGCCTGCACGGTGTGGGGAGGGGTGCTGCTGTCAGGTAGCCCCTCCCCTACTGCTCCTTCTGTAGAAAGCAGCCTGGCTGTCACATAGGGAGTCGTTACATCCAACAGGCACACAAAGTTCAGCCTCACTTGATACAGCACTTAGGAATACTTTCAACTGCAAGGAAGAGATTTACTATGGCTCAGGCAGGTTTATTCCCCATGAGCATCCTGCATGCTTGCTGCCTTATAACAACATAATGGTTATGTTGTTAAAAGTTCCTGGCATCACACCTACATTCAAGGCAAGAGTCAAGAGAGGACATGAATCATCAGCTCCATTTTCCTATCTCTGGACAAATGCAAAAGACATCCCAGAAGTCCCAACGTGAGCTCCAGTTCATTGGTCAGAATATTCCTGGCTACTAAGAAGGTCACAAATGTGGGTGTCTCACCTCAGGGAGAAACCTACTAACAAAAGCAAGTTTCCACCAGCAGAAAAAGGAAAGGGACTGTGTCGGGGACGGCTGAACCTAGAGTTCAACGAAGAGCGCCCAAGGGGAGCTGCGTGAACAAGCGGCTCCCATCCAGAGAACTGCAAGCCCTTGGGTTAACTCGAAGGCCGTCAGGCAGCGGCTGTCATGTGATACTAACTGCCGGATGTATAAATACGCACACTGCACTGGGTGAGCAGCTCCTTCCTGTCCCACTGACCCCAGCTTTCTGTGTCTCCTCTTCATTTCTTCACCCTCTCACCACCCTTCAGGTCCTCACACCAGGAAATTCCAGGGCCATGCAGACCGCAGCAGAACCAAATAGTGGGTATGTGACTATTTCAAATACACTAAAAATCCAAGGACACCATATTAAAAGAGATTGGGCTGGAGATGTGGCTCATAGGTCATGAATATGTACACGTGCAAGGCCCCGAGTTTAATCTTGGTAGAAAGATACAGACCGAGACAGAATCTTTCTTAACAAATTAGCCCAGATTTTAAGTATTGCACACCTGCAATCCCAGAAGGAGAATGAGGCAGGAGGACCTCAAGTTTCAGTTTCACCTGGGTGACTTAGTAAGATCCTGTGTCAAAATAAAAAAGCACTGCACAGGCAGCGTCATGGGAAGGCCTGGGGTTCAGTCACCAGCATAGCAAGAGAAAAAATCTTTCTGGGCTGAAAACATGGAAGCTCATGGAGTCTTATGGGGTTTTGTTTGTTTTTTGTTTCTTGTTTTGTACCAGGGATCAAATGCAGGGCTTTGTGCTTGCCAGGCAGGTGCTTAGGCCACTGTGCTAAATCCCCAGTGAACACAGCTCATTGGTACAGTGCTTGCTTAGCATGCACAAGCCCCTGGGTCAGGTCTCCGGCCCGGAAATATATTCATATATTTACGTTCTGTTATTCTCTGGCTTCTGCCAAGTGCCAAGAAAGAAAGTGTCATCATTCAGCCACTATATGGGCAGCTCTTCCTATTAGGGACACATTACAAAAATTCTCAGGTTAACTTCTTGACTAAATACAAGATTATTTTCGGGAATTGGGGATTTAGCTCAGTGGCATAAGCACCTCCCTTGCAAATACACGGTGGTGAGTTCGATTCCCGGTACCAATAAAACAAAATATTTTCATAAGCAACTGTCGGATTTTGTCCTGTCTCAGCAGGGCATTCACATCCCACTGAGCTGTAACCAAAACTAGAGCTGAAGCTCCAAACTCAAGACAGGGAGGGCGCTGATTATTTGAAGACATTTACTCAAGTCTCTGCATTCAGTAGGTCATTTAGAGAAGTCTGAGGAATGTGAAAATATCCACCAAGGAGTTAATGAGTAATAAAATGGACCTCTACTCAAAGTTCACTCCTCGCTGACCCACATTACATCACCCCACGATAAGCCAGTCCTCCCTGCATGGCCAGTCCATAATGCAAATCCTATGGGCAGTGAGCCGTGAATTTTGCACCCAATGCAAGAAGCCCCACGCAAACAGGCTGCACCAGAGCACCCCAGCGCCCCTCAACTTGCACAGGATGCCACTGATGCCTAAGGCAGGCAGTCATTGGCCAGCCAACAACTGCAGAAGAGACTGATGCTGGGCCTCAAAGGGAGCTTCTAAGTACAACTGTTTCAAAAATAAGTAAATGAATAAAAGATGTGAAATGAACATAATGCGAAGAGAGACTGGCAGCCCTCTCCCTGCACCCAGGATTAAACCACATGCCTCATTGCCCTCGCCCTCGCAAAGCCTGGCACATTAGGTCAGTTTTGCAAGAACCCTACTCCCCATCCCACAGCTCTCCATATCGGGTCAACCCCGTGATGTCCCTGCACTCCCTAACCCAGCTCAGGCGACACTCCCCTCCCTGCTCTACTGTTGCCGTGGCCCACCTCCTGCGATGGCCCTGAGTGACCGTGCCCCCACCCCTGCACTAGCCAGCACCACGGAATAATCTGTTCTTAACAGCAGCATCTCCCCCTGGACAGTGACTGCCTGGGACCACAGCTTGTCAGATCTTCCAGGGAACCAAGACAAGGCCGAAATCCGGATTTTTAGGTGAAATCATTTGATTTCTACATTTCTGCAACCACCTTTAGAGATTTTTAAACACTCAGAGTCAAGCAAAACACTTCTGCTGGTTTTATGGGGCCAGCGTGCCCAACTTTGCAGCCGGTGAAACGCCAGCTTCTGACTACCCGAAGCCTCTTCTTTTTCAACTGAGGAAAGACACCAAAACCAGCCGAACCAGCCGTGTGTGTTCGGTGTTCTGGCTCGCATCTGCTCTGGGGTTCTCCCCGCACACTCTTACTTAGGGGGTCCGGCTCCACTGCTACCCCATCTGACTAACGGCAGAATCCAGCGCTGCTCTTTGCAGTCCACCACCGGGGGATCCTTTCCTGCCATGCTGTTGTACAGTTACTTGATTATTTTTCTACTCCCCTAACTCGCCTACCCGATTTCCCAAATTGTCCTTCCGCGAGTGAGAAACTGACTCCCGGCCTGTCCGAGGTCCGAAGCCCGAGGTCCCAGCTCCCGGCCTCCCCGCGCGGGCCCTGCATAGCCCCGCGTCGGGAGCGTTGCCCTGGGCTCGCGGAACCCCGCGCCCCGCTGCCCGCTGCCCGCTGCCCGCTCCCAGGCCCCGCCTTCGCCGCTCGTGACCCAGGCCCAGCAGGCTGCGCCGCGCCCTGCGTCGATTTCCTGCTAACTGCGCGGTGCGCTCCTACTGCTCAGGTCGGTTCCGAACCAGTGTGCAAAACACCACGAAGTAAACAATATTAGATGGGACACAGGAACAACTAGACACGCGAAGGTACAGGGCCGTAAGCGCTCCGGCCGCGAGCAGAGATCCTGGGAGACAGTTAAAGGCAAGCACCAACAGCCCCCACCCGCGCCTGGGGGAACCCGGGCGCCCACCGCTCTGCGCGCTCCGCAGCGCCGGGAGGAGAGAGGCGGGCGGGCAGTGGAGGGAGACCGCCGGCGAAGAGGCAGGCGTGAAGCCGCCCGCCCGCGCCGCCCCTGCGCCCGCCCGCACCGCCCCGGCACGTGACGCGGCCAACATGGCCGACGGGGAGGACGGCGGCCCGGCGGGGCCGGCGCCGGGCGAGGACTTTGAGATCGTCGAGCGCAGCCAGCTGCCGAGCCCGGGCGAGCTGCGGAGCGCGGCGAGGCCCCGCGCGGCGCCCGAGTGGTCGGCACCCATCCTGACGCTGGCGCGCAGGGCCACCGGGAGCCTGACGGCGAGCTGCGGGAGCGCGCTGCGCGCGGCCGCGGGGCTGAGCGGCGGGGACGGCGGCGGCGGAGGAGCAGACGGCGCGGCGCGCGCAGGTAGGCGCGAGGCGGCGGGCCGGGCCGGGGGCCGCGGCGGGGCGCCCGCCTGCCTCAGCCTGGGAGGCCCGGGTCAGGCTCAGCGTGACTGAGGTCAGGTGAGTCCGCCTGCGCGTCCGGGGCGGCGGGGGACGCGCTGCGGGCCTGGCTTCCCGGCGCTTCGCGCCCTTCCGGGCCGAGGACTGCACGCGCCGCCCCGGTCCCTCCGCGGCTTCCTACTAACGTACGCGTACCGAGTCTGCAGACGGCGGGTCTAGTTAGTTGCAGAATTTGATAATTACTGGTCAAATATAAATATTAATAAATACTATTCGTACTAGGCTTGTTTTGCGTCAGGGTCTCGCTGTGTAGCGCAGGCAGACCTGGAACTCACAGCGATCCCCCTGCCTCAGCCTCCCGAGTGCAGCACTACACTCTTAGAAATGAAGTTATTACAATAATCAAGTTTATGTCATTAAAAGAAAGTTATTCATACTCATGAATTCCTTCAAAGGAGGCTGAGTTGTACAGTGCGTGAAACATAATACATTTGACTTCTGGCTGTACCGCGGTACCCGTGTTTTCAAATAAATTTGGTAACGATCTCTACATTGCTATTGTGATTCCTACCGGTCCTAAAAAGCGATTGGTTTTCTAGTAAATTGTGCCTGTAGCTTCTCTTCACGGGTTAATGTTCATCAATAATAATTTTTCCAAACTGTAACATGAAAATCTTGTAAGTACCCCATTGATCATGTCGACAATGTGCGTTTCAGCTGCTGTACTACAAATTAGCTGTGTTATGATTTTTGTGCTATTTTAATGTTTCTGTTAAGGACCAGCAATGTAGTGACTTCTGGTCTGCTGAATCAACGCCTTTCTTTATGTTGCTGTAATCGAAGACAAAATCAGGTTTTATGTTTCCCGGAGTTCCTTCCATCAAAGTACATGCATGATGTGTCAGTCCATTTCACAAATTTTACACTGATTTCACCACATGTGTGCTACGTTTTTGCTGGACTGTGAAAATACTTGGTTTGGCTGTCCTGTGCTGCAAAAAGTTTCTTTTTGTAGAAGTTCTTGTATTAGGAGTATATTTCAAATAATAACTATCTGCATATGATGTACAGTGTTCAAATAATAATCTGCTCATGAATTTCAAAACGACGTGGTAAGAATGCCAGTGCATCAAACCCTTGACACTTTCACTGGCACAGAAGTGTAAATCACTTTTTCCCTTGAGATAAGGTCTCCATATGTAGTTCAGGCTGGCCCCAAACCTGAGGCAATCCTGCGTCAGCCTCCCCAGTGCTGTAATTACCAGCCTGTGCCACAATGCCCTATTTAAATCTCCTTTTTAGGCTGGAGTGCATTAGGAAGAACAATCTCTTGTGTGACTCCTCTTCAAGATAAAGACACTGTGACAGTTCCACTCTTCTAAAAATTTAAAATGTTTCCTAGCAGGATGTGATGTACACCTGTAATCACAGCACTTGGGAGGCAGAAGCAGGAGCAGTGCCACAAGTTACATAGTGAATTCGAGCCCAGCCTAAACCATATAGTGAGAGCTTATCTTGGAAAACAAAACATAACAACAACAAAAAGTTCCCTGATGTTCAGCCTTACCTCTCCCTAAAGCCTGTCTCCACCCACACTCCCAACACACACAGACATGTACATAATATACACATGCCACACACATACATGACAGCCATGCACACGTAAAGATGCTCACATCCCACACGTCACACACACAGTGCTCTCTACTTCTTAGTTGGGTGTGGACTGTGGGGCATGGGACTCTTCCCTCATGGTGCAGCTGTGCCACTCTACAAAAAGTAGTTTTCTAGCCAGGCGTAGAGGTGCATATCTGTCACCCCAGCCTCCCACTCAAGCTGAGGCAGGAGGATTGCTTCAAATTCAAAGCCAGCCTGGGCTCCACAGTGCAAGGCCAGCCTGAAACTACGTGGTGAGACCTTGTCTCAAAACGACATAATTAGTACACAGCTACACATTGGCTCAGGGCTGTGCGGAGCCCGGATCCACAGTGTTACCGTCTTCCGCGTCTACGTCCTATTTTCCTAAATAGTGCCTTCTGGAATACCCCTTGAAGCACCAACATAAGGCTCATGTTTTACAGTTAACATTTTTCTTAAATAGAAGGAGGACATGTTGCCAGGCATGGTGACACGGATCTGTAATTCCAGCACTCTAGGAAGCTGAGACAGAAAGATTCCACATTCAAGTAGAAAGACCCTGCCTTCAAATAAAAAGGGGTGGGAAAGTAGCTCAGTGTGAAAGCCCTGAAGTTAACCCTTGGTACTGGAGAGGGAGGGGAAATACATGCTAAAGTGGGGATGAACATGGTATAGTAACCTCAAACCGTTCATCACCATTGCACAACGCTGTCAGATACAGGCATTCCCCCATCTAATGCTCTGTTTAACGACCTGCACACTGCGGCTCTGGAGTGCTGTTCCAGCACTGCCCACTCGGACTTCTGCAGTTCTAGACGCTTTGGGTAGTGCCCTTCACACAGTGCCGTCCTCGGTGCTGAGGGACAGCGCCCCGCCGCAGTCCTAGGTTCTAGTGTGTACTGCAGTACTGCACTTAAGAATTCTGCAGATCAGGGCCTGGCCCTCTGAAGGAGTTTCCTCTGACCGTTTCTTCCTTTTGAGTGTTGTCTCCACACCACACAGTTCCTCCATCGACAACAAGTTCAGTAAAGGGCCTCGTGGCAGGATGAGACTCCGCTCTAAAGAGTGGGGTCAGTTTTGCAGTGCGTAACCAGGTGGTGAATGCCTCGCGCTGAGGACACAGCCAGTGTCCGGCACCCGCAGGGCCAGCATCACCAGTGATGGGAGCTCTCCACTTCCCTGAAACGTTGTAGCTCAGCCCGCAAGGCTGACTGTAATGTTCCCTGATAGATGAAGTGGGCTGACCCTCACCAGAATGAGGCACACACTGGAAAGTCACCATGTCTCATGCCACCATGTGTTCAGAGCAGCATGCCTGCATCTTCTCATCCCCCAGTGACCCTGGGCAGGGCAGGCCAGCTTCCAGGTCAGCAGTGGGTGTGTGTTCAGATGTGCCTGGCTTGACATGTGTTCTGTGACTTGTGTGACTGAAGACAGAGAAACTTGTGGGGACACCTGAGTCAGGCCCTTGTGTGCCCCCTCCTCCCCAGTGCAGTCAGAGTGTCCTGTGACCCAGGCTGACTGGGGCACCGAGGGCCCCAGGAGCAGGCTGACTTCTGTCATGGCAGGTTTCTTGGCCGCCCACGTGGTAAGTACCCATATTGTCATCTTGGATAAAGCCCAAAAGCTGACCCCAAACAGTGCCTCCCAAGCCCATGCTCCTCGTCACAGCATCACTCCTCCGCCTGTGTCTTCAGAGGGCCTCGGATATCACATGTCCTGTGGATTCTACCTGGATGTGTGCGATGAGTCATTTTACAGAAAGTGTTCACTAGCTGCCAGTCACTGAGGGAACAATGTGAATGTGGCTTCTAAGGGCGGAATTCAGATTCCCGGGCTGGCTGAGGTGTGGGGAAGGACCCACCGGGCAGGGCCCTTGGTGGTAGCCACGTGGACCTCTGAGAGAGGTGTAGCAGCCACCAGTTGGGCCAGGCCGCTCCCCTCGCTGAGTAGTAAGGGCAGGAAGTTCTCAGAGGGAGCAGCTCAGGAGCAGGGCCTGAGTGGGAGCTGCACACCTGCCAGATAACGTTTTGATAGCAGCACCTCTAAAAGGCATTGCCGTGGGAGCTTCAGGTGCTGTTCTAAAGTGCTACCCGTTTCCGGGCAGGGGGTGCATCTCCGCAGCAGAGCACCTGCCTAACATGCATGTGCATGTGATGCTGGGCATTATCCCCGGCACCACCAAAACACTAAGTGGCACATTGGGGATCGGGCTCCACAGGGCTTGTGTGGTGCATGGTTGTCTTATCCCGGTTTTTTGGAATTTAAGGAAGAAGATACAAATGATTTTTTAAAAATCCAACTACAAAAAGGGCAAGTAGTAAGTTCCCCTGTCCACAAACTGTCCCCAGTCCTGCTGTGCCTTTCTGGATGTCTCTTCATGGAGCTGGCTGCGTTTCTGCCTCGGCAGTTTCCCACACCAGGCTTGCCCTTCCTGAAGACTGTTCTTCCTAGCGCCTCAGGCCTGCACTAGGATTTCATGTCCTCATAAGTTAAAATTTAATTTTCTTTAAAAAAATTTGTCTTCATGCAGAGGAAGTAAGGATAATCTATGCAGAGATTTACAAGAAGACTTAATTTTAAAAACTCCCATATATATGTATATATGCCCAACATCTTGCTTTTAGAGTGAGCGCTTCTAAAGGATGAGTAACAAAGTACGCATGTTCATAATGTGCTCCAGCATTAAGAAAGTATTCTGTCATTTAAAATTACGTAGCTAGGGCTGGGGATTTAGCTCAGCAGCATTAGGCGCCTGCCTAGCAAGTGCAAGGTTGTGAGTTCGATACCCAGTACCAAAAAAAATATGTAAATAAAAAACAAAATAAAATTATGTAGCTAGACATGTCTGTAGTTCAACTTGTCCAAAAGCTGAGGCAGGAGTTCAAGGAAAACTTACTTCACTGTGTCTTTCTCAGTTTGGGAAAAATTGTGTCACCCCTCTATAATTCAAATTCCATATAGAGAATCCCCAGGGCCCCACTCTCACTTAGGGACCTTGGTGTGCTTAGGGTTGTTTTTGTTTTGCTTTGTTTTTGTGGTACTGGAAATTGAACCTAGGGCTTTCATCCTAAAACCTCCCAAGCCCTGTTTTTTAAAAATGTATTTATTTTTCCCCAAAAACAAAGCTTTCCCTCCATAAAGTGAGAACACAGCGTCCTCAGAGCCTTTGCTCTTCAGTAAGGCAGGCAGGCACCCTGCTCCCTGGGTCCCTGCCGCCGACCCCTGAGAGGGGCCCCATCCTGGCTGGAGACCGGAAGCCCGCACGGCGGGCTCGCGGTGTCGCTGGGACCCTCAGTGCTGTCTCGCTGTCCATCTGCTGCTGTCTCCTTGCTGCCAGCGAGGTTTCCGTCCACTCTTTGGAGTCTGTTACCTGAGAACCGCAAGAGAGAAACGTGGCTGAGGCTGCTCAGGTCTTACTGGTTTTTTTTTTTTTTTTTTTTTTTGGTCTTTTTATCGGTACCGGGGATCGAACTCACGACCACCTGCTTGCAAGGCAGGCGCTTATGCCGCTGAGCTAAATCCCCAGCCCCAGTCCTACTAATTTTAATTCCAAAAGAAAAGTTTGTCAGTTTCAGGACTGTCCACTACGTGGACTCGATCGTCAACTGTCAGAGCCTGAGCGTGCCACTGACCCGAGGGAACTCCGGGCTGGAGTCCGGCAGGCGTCCCCCTTCCCTCCAGCCACCCACGCACCCAGCACCAGCACCTCCACCACGCTCGGTGGGCGTGGCCTCACTTATTCACCCAATAGCGGTGCGGGGAGCAAGGCCCCTCTCCCGGCCCTTCCCCATTTAGGACTGAGCTTAGAACTTCTATTGGCTGAAGAGGGAACAGTCAGCGGGAGACGGAGACGCCAATGGCAACGAATCTTGCTAGAGCCCTCATAGTGACACTGCATGTAGCTGCCTGTGAGAAGTATTTGGAATGGCAGGCAGAGCTTCCTATGCAGCCGGGATAGGGCTATGGCCTGCAGGGAGAGATGACAGCTGACTGCAAACCTCAGCTGTCAAGCGCGTCTGCACCTTAGGGACCAGCTCTCCTCCTTGGCCCTGCGCCCCAACCCTGTGCCGCAGACCTCCCTCACTCTACTGACCACTGTGTCCTTCCGCTTGCCCTACAGCTTCCAGAAGCCAGATGATGGAGGAGCGCACCAATCTGATGCATATGATGAAACTCAGCATCAAAGTCCTGCTCCAGTCGGCCCTGAGCCTGGGCCGCAGCCTGGATGCGGACCACGCCCCCTTGCAGCAGTTCTTCGTGGTGATGGAGCACTGCCTCAAACACGGGCTGAAAGGTGGGCCTGGGCTTCTGGGTGTGGGGCGACTGCGGTGTGCAGAGCGACCCCCAGCCCGCGAGAAGCATACTCTAGAGCCTACAGTCCTGCCAAAGAAAAGTGCAAAGGCATAAACAGCTTTTAATTTTCTACTGCCACACTTAAAAAGTTTTTAAAAAGTGGAATTAGTAGTAATGCATTTTACTGAACACAGTGTGTTCAAAATATCATTCTGACACATTATCATTAGGCTTTATTAGCAACGTTTTACTTTCTTTTTTGATACCAAGACTTAAAAGTCCACTGTGTTGGGGCCGAGGATTTAGCTCAGTGGCACAAGGACCTGCCTGGCAAGTACAAGGTCGTGAGTTCAATCCCTGGTGCCAAAAACAATTAGAAGTCCATTGTATTTTACACTTCAGCAAATGTCACTTCAGTTCCTCATTAGCACCGGCCAAGGGCAAGTGCCCTCTGAACAGCGTATGTGGCTGGTCACTGCCATAGACAGTGCAGTTCTAGGAGACAAGGCAGCCAGTAGCCACAGAAACAAAATAACTACAGAATGCCACAAGGTCAAGGAAGCAAAGCGGGGTAAATGATAAGAGAATCAAGGAAGGAAACAGCTGAATGGCTAGGGGCGGGTCTTTCCAGGGAGGTGAAGTGTGAGCTGAACCCCTAGGCCGAGGAGCCAGCACTCCAAGGGGGGTAAAAACTCCTGCAAAGGTCCTGAGTGGGACCTGCCTCAGCTTGAGGAGTACTTCTGGAAACTGAGGCACATGAAGAGGGAGGGTGTAAGAGTGAGGAGATGATCGTGCATGGGTACTTAAAGCTCGTGAGGGGTTTATTCTTCGTGTATTTGGAGGATTCAAGGGAGAGTTTTGGTCCAAGTCTTGCACCAGAAGAAAATAAAGCCTTAGGGTTAGGATTAGGATTATTAGTATTTTAGGGTTTGGAGGATTTCCGAGTTAGGGTAATTCAACCTGCATTTGTAAAAGAACTTCAGCTGTGTCCAGAACAAGTTGTAACAGTGGGAGGTGACACCGTTGGGCGCTCGAAGACCGCTTAGGTTACTGCAGCACTTCGGTGAGAGATGGCAGTGATGATTTGAAGAAATGAAGCGTTGTGTTCCCATCAGGAGGAGAAGGGGGACATGTGTTTCCCAGCTGAGATGGAAGGCACCGGTTTTATTTCAGGGCAGTAGAGCAGGGCTTAGCAAGTGTATCGGAAGCCCTGTTCTTGGAGGAAGAAGGGGCTGACTTGCACCCTGGCGTTCCCAGGCCCTGGGACTCATCAGGAGGATCAGCCGTGGAGCTCTGGCATATGGGAGGCAGACTGGGGGCCCCTGAAGGAACTTTGCAACCTGTTCTTATGAATAACACTTTTGTTTTCCCTTTTAGTTAAGAAGAGTTTTATTGGCCAAAATAAGTCTTTCTTTGGTCCTTTGGAGCTGGTGGAGAAACTTTGTCCAGAAGCCTCAGATATAGCTACTAGTGTCAGAAATCTGCCAGAATTAAAGTGAGTGAGAAGTAGTCATACCAATGTGATGTTTAAAAAACCACCCTCGTATTTACCCATTTCTCAACTCCTTGCTAATAAAACTTTTTCTAACCTTTAAAAATTGTAGCACAAATCACACTCTACTCACACTGTGATCACAGTCCTGCTACTCCTGTCTGCACCTCTCTGAGATCCACACCTCTTTGAGCCTCAGTTTCCTTTTCTTTCACATGAGCACAGTGATTCCTGCTTGCTGTACAGATCAGATAGGTTGAAGAGGTATTACTAACGAGCAGTCCGAGGAAAAGGACTGGATTAACACTCTGAGAGTCTGGATGCAGCCTGACAGTGTGAGTAATGCAGTTTAGGCCGGGTCTCCAATTCCAGGTCAGCAGGCATATGTGACTCGGCTGCGGCCAGTTATTATGAGTATTTACTGTGTCCTTGGCATCACTACCCATGTGCTCAGAATCAAAGCCTGGCGAGCACACAGATGAGGATCTTCATGGAGTCAGGCATCTCCGAGGGGCTCTGGCGTTCCATAAGCTGACGGAAGAGTCCTCCGAAGAGGCTCTTATGGGGGACCTAGCGTTCAGTGTTTGCTTGACACTTCGTGGAGCCAGCATGTTGATTTTAGAAAATAACAGCTACCACCCTAAGGACCCACTGTCTGCCAGGCATGGTCCTGAGGGCATTTCTCTAACTCATCAGTCCTCTGCACAGATACTCGGGTAGCCCCTAGTGCCCCACTGGCCAGTGTGGAAACTGAGACTGAGGTGAGGTAACTTGCCCGAGTCCTCTTGGCGACGGAGTGTGGAGTCAGGAGCAGGTCAGTGACCTCTTCAGCTCTCACTGATGCTCACTGTCATCAAGCTGTGTGCATTCTTTCAAGACTGGACTTGGGCCTTTGCTCCCTGTCACTAGCGCAGCTTCTGGCCTCCACTAAATACATTTAAAGCTTTTTGCACTTCCAGCGTCTCAGATATTTATTTGATGCCCTCTTCTTTTTGGTGCTAGGGATTAAATTCAGGCCCCTACCCTGAGCTACAGTCCCTGCCCCAAGGCATTTTTTGAGGTCTTAAGAGACTGAGCACCAGCCATCGAATCCACCATATCACCACATTTCCTTATGAAACCTCTGGTTGCTAAACAGGTAACAAGCCTAGGTGTTGGCCATCCTCACCCTGTCTGCCAAAACTCTGAGCCCCCGGCTGTCTGTCTGGATGCTTTCAGGAGGAACCTGGGGGAGCTGAGGAGAGGGCCCTCTTTTGCTTCATGAAGAGCTGTAGTGGCTCCTGCCTGTGACACCAGAATGCTGGGAGCCTGAGGCAGGAAGATCTCTGATTCTTGCCAAGCCTGGGCAGTTTGGTGACTTAGAAGCTGTCTCAAACTACAAAAAAGGCTGGGATGTACCTCAGTGCTTAGGCACTGAGTTCAAGCCACAACAGCACCCCCCAAAAAAGCCACAGTGTTTTTACAGTTTTATTAAGTATTATAAAATTTCTAAAATATCTATGGCAATTTGGAAACATTTGACTGAGGGGAAGTTTTTGTGGGGTTAGGTACTAGAGGACTGTTTAAAGTAGTTGGAAACAGGATAAATTTTACATTCCTTGAAAGGCTTTTTCTAGTGTTTAATACTCAATTCTAATTGAGATTTTAAAAATACATTTCCTGGCATGACCTGTTGGCCAAATGTTTCCATGTCACACTTTTTGCTTTACAGAAAGATCCCAGCTGCAAACACTGGTTCTTAGAGCAGGCAAGACTTCTGTTTCTTTTTAAAATTAAAAACAATTCTTTTTTCTTTTTTCTTTTTTCTTTTTTTTTTTTTTTTTTTTTTTTTGTCTTTTTTGAGACAGTGCCTCCCTATGCAGTTCAGGCTGGCCTTGAGCTCACTTTGTAGCCCAGGCGAGCCCAACTCGCAATGATCCTCCCGTCTCAGCCTCCTGAGTGCTGGGATTACAGGTGTGAGCCACCACACCCAGCAACAATTCTTTTTCTAATAGCTTGATTTTTAATTAGGAAATAAAAACAAGCCAGAAACAAATTTACCCTACAACATACAAATTTACCCATTACCATACAACAGAGGAATAAGACTACTTGTGGTTGAGGGGAATAGCTCACCCACATGGCCTGGGCGTGGCGGCCATAAAAGGCTGAGGCAGAGAAGAAGTGTATCAGTGTCTCAGTCAGTGGCCTCCTCCATCCTTTCAGCATATTATCGGCCAGACAGACAGATGAGATCCTGTCTTTCTTTATCTCCTCCCCTCCCTGCAGTGTCCTGTTGTGCTCTTTCAGGTGGAGACAGTTTAGGACCACCCACTGGAATTACAGATGCCTTGTCCCTCAGCCCACGCTCCCACTGCCAGGCCGTTCTCTGCCAATGTCGCACAGGACATAGCACCACACACAGTGGCACCCGCAGTCCCTGCTGCTTGGGGGCTGGCACCTGAGGTTCACATGAGCCAAGCAGCACAGGACCATTGGGCAGTATAGGAAGATCCGCTGTCAGAAAAGAAATTCACACGACCTCCCACAGCATCACTGGGACAAGCAGCAGATTAGGACCAGCAGTTGGTCAATCAGTGAAACCCTGGAGCTGTAAGGAGGAAGCTCTGTGTTTGGAAAGACATTCTGGATAACAGAGATTCGGTGAAATATGCAAATTGCCGAAGGCACAGTTTTGGCTTTGGTTTTTAAAAGGGGGCAGAAGAGTAAGAGCTCCTGGCTGTTTGTACACAGAGGTGAACCTGAGCTGGAAACAGGGTGTTAATGGATGTGGGACAAGAAAGCAGAGCACAAGAACCAGAAAGAGCTGGAGCTGAGTGGTGTTCAGTGCAGTGCTTCCGGTTTTACCAGGTGTAGGGATCATTGCCTATTTCAAAAACAACAAGAAACTCAGTATTTGTGAAGTGTACGTACTGTTTCATGGCTTTCCCCATTAATGTTAGGTTTTAAACTCATGTCAGGTAGTCGTCCGCTTCTTTTTCATTAGTACCTGTGCTGTGTCTGACATGGTCATCGCACAGGTGTACAGGGACGTACAGGGTGGCCTTGCAGTGCCTGTGTGCAGCATGTGATGATCAGCTGGGGGGACACCTGTCTCCTCAGACGGTCAGGATCTTTTTGTGCATAGCACATTTTTTCTTTTCCATACTGGGAATCTAACCCAACGATGCTTTACTCCTGAGCTATATCCACAGCTGTTTTTATGTTTACTTTGAGACAGAGGCTTCCTATGTTGCCAGATTTGCCTTAAACTTGTGATCCTCCTGCCTCAGCCTCTGGAATCACAGTCCTGCACCACACCATCATTTGTAAGGGGCCCCACAGTATTCTGTTGTGCACTTAATTCTTCAGATCCTCATGGAACTCTTATTGCATTCTCTCTGTGGTGCAGTCACCATCCCCAAACATGATTTTCCTGTCTACCCTAAGCTATCACCTTAGTGCACAGTGCTAGGTGTTGAATTCTGAAATCTGTTGTCCTCAGATTCTCAGCTAGAAAAGTCGTACTACTCCACACGCTTAAAAGCAGCATGTCTCAGCCTTGATTTTTCCTGCCATGCCAACATTGCTTATCTTTTTTTCCTACCTTTTTCCCCTCCTTTTTACTGTGATGTAACATCATTAAGCTTGAAATTAGGTTAACCCTCTGAGCCTGGCTTCTGAAATCCAGTGGGCATGTGAGCCATGTCTAGCAAGGTCGTTGGCCCTGCGAGCACCCTTTCATGCAGATCTCGAACTGTAGCGCTGCTACTGCTTAGGTGTTCCTCTGCTTGGAACCAAATCTCTTTTTCCCTAAAACAGCTCTAGTTCTGTGGTTAGAAGCTGTCTCTTCTACTGAGCAGCACGGACCTTTCCAAAGCTGCCGCCTTGGAGGCCGGCTGCCCAGCGGCAGGAAGGTCAGTGTGCTGAAACTGAAAGAGGCTTCAGTGTCATTTTACCACAGCTGAAAATACAGCCCAAGCCAACAGTGTGCCTTTTCAGCCAGCGCCGGAGAGGTCTGTGAGGCCTGACACTGCCCAGCTTGTGTGTGTCAGTCTTTTGAAGCAGTGTCCATCGTAGCAGCCTGGCTGCGTACTGCCTGGCTCCCTCGAAATTCTGTGTTTGCAGAGTTTCGTCTACTTCTGTTGTTCTACAAATCGGAATTTTTTGGCTTAAGATTTTTTCCTTTTGTTGGAAAAAGAAGAAAGACAAAGAGCACATGCTTTTGGTGCAAAATTCAGACCATCCCAAAAGGCATACGGCCAGCGCTTTCTCTGCTGTCCCCTGGTGCACGTCACCCTGGCCTCAGAGCAGCTTTCTCGGTGCTCTGCGTCCGTGAGCACGCGGCTCACCCTGCACATCCCTGGCTGTCTGTCGTCATTGGCACACCACACAGCTTGTTCTCTGTTTGATTCCAGGACGGCGGTGGGGAGAGGCCGAGCGTGGCTCTATCTTGCCCTCATGCAAAAAAAGCTGGCAGATTATCTGAAGGTGCTGATAGACAATAAGCATCTCTTAAGGTATTGTGCCACCTGTCTCTGCTTTTCTTTTTGGTACTGGGGATGGAACTCCAGCCGTACACTTACAAGGCAGGCACTTATGTTGCTGAGCGAAATCCCCAGCCCGTGTCGGTTGTTTTGAGTTATTATATAAGAGTATATAATGTTCACAGCTTTTATTGAAATTATCATTAATTTTAAGTATTCTGTGGCCTAGTTTTAAAATGTCAATGCTAGTTTCTTTTCTGAGCACTGGTATCTAAATGCCATTATGAATGAAGATTCATGTAACTTGTCATTTTGGAAAAATTTTGAAGATAATTCTTCAAAAATATTAATACCTAGCCGAGTGTGGTGGCTCACGCCTGTAATCCCAACAGTTGAGAGCTGAAGCAGGAGGATTGTTGCGAGTTTGAGACCAGCCTGGGCTACAAAGTGAACTGCATAGCGAGACTCTGTCTCAAAAAGACAAAAAAAAAAATATATAACCTAAGAGTTGGTAACTGACAGCCTATTCTATTACGCTTCAGTGAAATTTTATTTTTTTGATTAGGTGATGTCAGAAAAAATTGTTTCAGAACAAGGTGTAGTGGACAGTTGTCCTTTCTTGGTTCTTGCTGTGTAATCCAGGCTGGCCTCCAGCTCACAGTCTTCCTGCCTCAGCCTCCTGGGAGCTAGGATTATAGGTATATGCCACAGTGCCCAGCTTCTACAGCGGACAGTTTTAAAATACAAAATCCTGCTTTTTGTAAGAGGATATATCTGTATTAGCCAGTTCAGCATTCCATATCCAGTTTGTAAAATTTTATTCCTCTTATCAGGAAAAATTTAAAGTGGCCATCACAAAAATGCATGACTGGTTTTTTTTGTTTGTTTGTTTTTTAGGGGATTTACGTTTTAGGTTTTCTTTTTCTGTTGTTCTTAGGGGTAGGGCTTAAATGCTGACATTGAACCAGGGACTTTGCTCTGAGCTGCATCCCCATCTGCCCCCTCCTTTTTCTTTTTTTTAAGTCACTAAGTTGTCCAGGCTGGGTTCAAACTTGCAATCCCCCTGCCTCGGCCTCCCAGTATGCTGAAATACAGGGATGCATTACCTCTCCCTGCTGATAAATACCGCTCTCAAGTACTTTGTACTCAGAGCCCTGTTATAATGAATAATTCCGAGTTGCAGATTCTGCACTAAGCAGTGAACTGCTGAGTCTCATGCACACACGCACATATAAGTGTACATATAGTTGCCTGGGAGCCCCTGGGCTGCACAGAGGGCCAATCAGTGGTGACCAGAAGTAGCAGGGTGGGGCTCTCGGTGTATGCAGAAGTGACAGGGAGATCTGAGGGGGTCCCTGGCTGTCAGGGCTGTTTCTGAGCATGCAGCCCCAGGGGCTGGGCATGTCAGTGTGAAGAGCTGGTGGGGATGGCAGGACCACAGGAGATGGGAGGGGCTGGCTCCAGGATCCAAACAGAGGGCTCAGCCACCCCAGGGCTGTCCTCACCTGGGAGTACCTGAGATGATCAGCCTAGGCCTGGAAGGCTAAGAAGGCCGCAGCCAAGCCTCGGGCTGCCCTGCAAGAAGAGACAATGGCCAAGGGCGTGGGTACCCGCAGGCACGGTGAGCAGCAGCTGAGCCCTCAAGTCCCAGACCGGCAAGACCCTGGCTCCCAGAAAATCAAGCTGGAGCCCAAGGCATGGGGTGGCGGGCAGGGAGGCAGGCTGGAGCACTGGCTTCCCTGCTGCCCTCTCTTCCAGCGAGTTCTACGAGCCCGAGGCGCTGCTGATGGAGGAAGAAGGGGCGGTGCTGGTTGGGCTGCTGGTGGGACTCAATGTTCTGGATGCCAACCTCTGTCTCAAAGGAGAAGACTTGGACTCCCAGGTGAGCGGGGATGGCAGCTGCAGGCGGGCACGGCAGGCGGGGAGCTAAGGAGCCGACCTGAGGACTGCCCTCACCCCGGAGGGAGCTGGCCCTCCGAACACGGCTGTGGGGTGGCCGTCTGTGGTGAGGAGAGATCAGCCCAGCAGCCACACTGAGGAGCCTCGGATGGCGGAGGAACGGGCAGAGCCCCCCGGGGAGGGATGGCGCTGGGCATCTTCCTTCCTGAGGAGCCAGCAACAGGGGAGGCTCTCGGCTCCCCGGGCCAGGACCAGGCACATGTGAGAGCACCCACGCCGGCCCTGTCCAGGTCATCAGTAGCTATGGGTTTGGACCCAAATTGCCTAATGCTTCCCGCCCTGCCTGTGTCAGCACTGGGAGCCATAGCTATTTCTATGTTTGGTGTTAGGGCTCAAACCTGGTGCTTCATGCGAGCAAGGCAGGCACTGTACCTCTGAGCTGCAGCCACAACCCCACCCTTTTTTATGTTTTTAATATTTTAAAATTTTTTTAGTTTTAGTTTTGAGTGTCACTAAGCTGCCTAGTTTGGCCTAGGACTTGTGATTTCTCCTGTCTCAGCCTCCCAAGTAGCCAGGATTACAGGATGGCCCTGTACCTGGTTTAACTTTTTAAATCAAATGTATATTTTTTTAAATTATTTATAATTTAAATAATCTTATCATTTGTTTTGACAGAATATGAAGTAGGAATCTAGGTTTACAAATAATAAACCAGTTTTCTCAAACTCATCTATTAAGGTTGGGGATTTAGCTCAGTGGCTTAAGTACTTGCCTGGTAAGCGTGAGGTTGTGAGTTCAATCCCTGATACAAAAAAAAGTCATCTTTTAAATATATTGTTTTTCTACCAGTTTGGAGTCCCTTTGTGCATGAATTGTCCACAGCCTGCTAGGGCTCCCCTGGACTCTGCATGGTTGCTGGACCTCTTTGTTCTGTACCTCTTCTTGAATCACTGTTGAACCCCCAGCGTGGCAGTTGACCTTCTGCAGGGTCACTGTCCCTCTTCTCCAGGTGTTTGTGGGCTGTCTATTCTGCCTAGGGTATTTGGACATCATATGTCAAACTCCAAGGTAGAAACCCCTAGAGATTTGTGTAAAGCTAGCGGCGTATCCGCACCCTCCGCACCCTCACCTCCCGTCAGAAGGCAGCCGGTGTCTGAGGACACTCTCACGCTGAGCAAGTTCTGTTCTGTTTGTTTGTCTTCAGCAGAAGTGAGCATGGACGTCATGCTGTGAATACCCCCCCTGACATCTCCTGGGATGTGTCTCTTTTTAAGCGATAGCTGGGTAATTTGTAGATTTTCCGCTGCAGAATTATTCATGCATTCCTAAGAGGAACTCCGCTTGCTCCTCATGTTCTAATCCTGCTTTTCTGACTCCCTGCTCCTGAAACTGCCCTGAGTTTTCTGTCTGCCTCGCCACCTTTCGGTGTCAGGGTTACATGAGGTGTATAATTCACAGGAAAATGTTGTTCTTCCTTTCCTTGTTGGACCAGAATTTTTGTTTTCAAGGTTTGCTAGAACTCAGTGTATGACCACGTCAGCCTTATGCCTTTTTTGGTCCTGCTGCTTTTCGTGTCGGTTTTTGGAGTTGGGTTAGGTTGTTGTTTTGGGTTTTGTTTTGTTTTGCGTCAGGGTGTCACTATGTCATTCAGGCTGACTCACTGTGTCGGTATGCCTGGAACTCGAAGTGATCATCTTGCCTCAGCCTCCCAAGTGCAGAAATTGCAGGTGTGCACCACCACAGCCAGCTTCACTTTAATTTTTTGCACATTTTTGGTCAGTTTGTCGATTTTCTTTTTTTTTTTTTTTCCCTTTTTCTTTCTTTTTTCCAGTACTGGGGATCAAACTCACGACTGCCTGTTTGTAAGGCAGGTGTTTATGCCACTGAGCTAAATCCCCAGCCCCTAGTTTATCAATTTTCTAATTGGTAGTATAATTTTTAGTCATTTCTGTTTTCCTGGAAATCATTTCATTGAGATACTGTGAGCGAGCTGTGTGGCAGCTCTCTGGCGTAGCTTTTTCCATCCCGCCCCTCTCATCTGTGATATTTCCCTTTGTTACGTGTCCCTCGCTTGGTAGAAGTTGAGCTGATATGTCGAACTTTGAGGAACTGGCTCTGCTAGTTCTGCCTTGGGAATAGAGCTTGGATGCTCCTTAGGCAGCAGACACCCTGAATGTAGGACTAGCACCTGGTTTGCCTTCCGATCCATGAGTATCAGCCGTAGGTATTCATCCTCTCTTTCTGTTGTTTCTTTCCCAGTTGAATATGTTTTTTGTTTTTACTATTTGGGGGTTTTTTTGCTGAAAGAACCCCAAAGTGCCTGGGTGTGGTGGCTCATGCCTGTAATCCCAGCACTCGGGAGGCTGAGGTGGGAGGATCCTTGGTTGAGTTCGAGACCAGCCTGGGCTACAAAGTGAGCTCAAGGCCAGCCTGAACTGCAGAGAAAGGCCCTGTCTCAAAAAATCAAAAAGACCAAAGAGAGAGAGAGAACTCCAAAGTGATACTAGAGGATGCGGGGTGACGGGTGGAGCCCATGCTTCCCGACCCTCACCCCTCCATCCTCCTTCCCACAAGAGAAGGGAAGACTTTCTGCCGCCTGCGTCATCCATGCGTGGCTTTTGTTTGAGCTGACCCTTTCCTGATTCTCCTTTCCTGTCTGAGGAATCTGCAGTCACTGAACAGTGACTGCCACCATGTCTCTGACAGTTGGGTTGGCTGCATTCTGGGAAAGAGGCTCTCACAGTTAAGTCTGCCTGTGATCCAGGCAGATGGTGGCAGGGCCGGGGTCATCAAAGCCGGTGCTCACTGCTACGTCTGTGCTGGGGCTGAGCAGACTGCAGAACTGGGGAGGTCAGGGCTTCTTGGGCATCTCACTGTCTGTGTGTAGCCCTCCCACGGTCTGCAGCATTTAACATCAGAGATTGTGTCCCCAAGAAAGGGCCAGGTGGAAAGCGCAGTACTTGTCTTCTGCATTTTACTTTGCAAAACAAGAACTGAGACCATCCAGGCTCCAAGGTGGGGAACAGTTTGGTTCCTGTCATAAGCTTTATTTCATGTGTGTGTGACAGGGCCTTGCTGTGCAGTTCAGACTGGCTGTGAGCTCGCTTTGTAGCCCAGGCTGGTCTCGAACTTGCAGTGATCCTCCTGCCTCAGCCTTCCTAGTGTTGGGGTTACAGGCATGTGCCACGACGCCTGGCATGAGCTTTAGTTCTTGACAAAGCCGTCTCCCTGCTGGAGCAAGGGACAGAACTCTCACTGCCCAGATGGGTGAGGAACTCTGGTCCTGTCCCTGCAATGACAGAGTTTTCCCTGGAAAACAAACTAGACCGTCTCACCAAAATCTGAGTAAAGAAGGATTCAGAAGTGTCATCACTTGAAAGATCTAGGTTTTTCTTTTTAAATTAGTTTGTACACAGAGAGCTATGTTGATCTGTGTAAAAGTGTACTCAAAGTGCGCCTTTGAGTACAACAGTGATACCGAGTACCCTGAAATGCAGGCTTGTAGAAATGAGATATATTGTCTTTTACTAAATCTGTACGTCTCTTTCTGTCAGGTTGGCGTAATCGATTTCTCCCTCTACCTTAAGGATGTGCAGGATCTTAATGGTGGCAAAGAGTAAGTACTACTGGGAACACTGTTGTTCTTTTTCATTCTAATGAAATTCTGACAAAGTGTACTATTGTTTTTGCCTTGAAAGCCCTATTATATTTCATGTTTTAATTAGGAATAATATGTATATTAATAATGGGTTGCCTGAGAGAGCTATTTAAAGGGTAGAAGAGGTAAAAGAAAAAAGAACTGCAGGGAACATTTGTGAATTCCTGTAATCTCAGCTTCTTAGGAGGCTGAGGGAAAAGGGTCATGAGTTCAAGGCCAGGCAGGCAGTTTAGCAGCCTGCCAAGACCCTCTCTCAAAATGTAAAGATAGAAACCGAATCCTGCAGCTATGGCATGAACTGGTAGGATGATCCTGTTCCCATACACTGCAAGCGTACAGGTTTAGAAACCCTCGGGAGAGCCGAGGCAGTGGCACACACCTGCCATCCCAGCACTGGAGAAGCTGAGGCAGGAGGGATCATTGAGAGGTCAAGGCTGCTCTAGACTACAGAGTGAGTTCAAGACCAGCCTGGACTACATAACGAGGCTCTTGTCTCAGAAAAGGAGAAGAAAAGAAGTTATTCAGAGAGCCTGTCAGATGTTAACAGTCTAAACTCTAGCTTGCAGACTGCACAGCTCTGCCTTTTGAAGCCTCATGGTCCTCTCGAGGGAGTGGACCCCTTTCCTTCAGGGTTATAGTGAGAGGCGGTGCCACTTACAGAGCTGTTTGCATGGCAGGCTGGGCTTCCCCGTGTGTGCATGCCCACAGTCCCCTCCTCACCCCAGAGCCAGGGCACCCTGTCCCCAGCCCGCCACTGAGTCCTCGGCTGGCCAGCCCTGCCCAAAGCTTACTCAGGACCCTGGAATTGCCCTGCAGTGAACACTACTGCTCTACAAGGTGACCACAGGGTTGCGGAGGGGTTAGTAGTCCTAATCCTGAACTAAAAATCTTTCTCCTTTTCTGTGATCTTTTTTTAAGGCACGAAAGAATTACCGATGTCCTTGATCAAAAAAATTACGTGGAAGAACTCAACCGGCACTTAAGGTAGGACTCGCTTCTTTTGTTCAGTGCCACTCTGTGTCTTGTCACCGTTTTATTTTATAGAACTTGTTTTAGTTACTACATATTTATAACGCACGTTTTTCCAAACCAAGAAAAAAAGACCACTCATCTGGCAGCCTGGTGTACACAGACTGGAGAGGTGGGATTTCCCTTGGTAGCCAGCTTTTGGGAAATTTTTGCACAGAGAGTAAGGACAGTCAGCCACACTCACAGCCTGTGTCCTCCTGAAATGGACAGCAAGCAGGAAATCACCATGGGAGCCTGCTGGACCTTCCAGATCCACGTGGTCATGAGCATAGGCAAATGTATTTTGATTTTTTTTTTTTTTTTTTAATTTTAGCTGGGAAGCTACTGGTGTGCTTCTTGGAACACTAGTCCTTGGAGGTTTGGGTACAGAAATGGGTGGACTCTTGGCCTAGTGATTTTGGAAAGCATATCAAATTCTCTCTGAATCCCCATCTAGAAAGTGTGTGGCACACTAGCTCCCCTGGAAAGGCTCTGTGACCTCAGAAGCCAGCAGCAGAAGCAAGCTGGCGTGTTTTTCCCAGTAGACTTAAGAGAGCTGTCTGTGGAGGCACAGGCCTGTAATCCTAGCACTCAAAAGACTGAGGTCGGAGCATGGGTTTGAAGCCATCCTGGCTACACAGTGAGTTCAAGGTCAGCCTGAATTTCAGAGCAAGACACTGTCTCAAAAAGCAGCCACCACCACCCCCGTGATAGGCTTAGGGAATCCATCTGAGTCTCACCTTCGCTGTGTGGACGCTGCTGGGAGAAAGAGTTCCTTGATCCAGTCCTCACTGTGAACTTTTGAAAGGAGCAGAGGTTGAGTCCCATCCCATTCCCTTCAGCCTCACGGAGGCCGCGGTGACGTGGGTCCCACCGGCTAGTAGAGGGAGGTGCTCGCCCGTGGGCACTGTTACGGCTGCATCTCAGTGACACACGCCTGGTAAGGCCGTGTCACCTCCCACCCACCTGCTCATCCAACCGTTTCCTGTGCAGCCCCTGCCTGTCTCTGGGACTGACAGCTGGTCGGAGGCCCCAGGCCTTGTGTACCCTTTGGAAATGAAGCTCAGAGCCCACGGGGCACGACCTCTCTGATGCCTCGGGTTTTCTTTCATCGCTTGATCACTTAGGTTTTCTCTCCCTGGGGACATGTCTTTTTGCTGTCGCTGTAATTTATAGTTTTCTTCTTTTTTTGGTACCAGGGATAGAAATCTTGACCTCAAGCTTGCCAGGCAGGCACTTATGCTACTGAGCTAAATTCCCAGCCCAATTTAAACTTTTCATAGAAAAAAATAGTTGCTGTTTTTAATATAAAATAATTAAATAAGGGGCTGGGGATTTAGCTCAGTGGCATAAGCACCTGCCTTGCAAGCAGGCAGTCATAAGTTTGATCCCCGGTCCCGATAAAAAGGAAAAAGACAAAAAAAAAGTGTAAAAATAATTAAATAAAATGTTACAGATATTTTCTAAGTTACATAGTTTGTGTTCAATTGACAATTCGATACTGTTAAAATATTTCATTCCATGAGTTGGGATATAGCTCTGTGGCCTGGCAAGTACAAGGTCCTGAGTTGGATTCCTAGTACCAAAAAATAGTTTTCCTTCCTTCACATCTTTTGAGGGTTTTTTCAGTTTTCATTTTGCATGTGATCCCCCTATTCTGGAGCCTTCGGTCCACTGCTCTGCTGGTTTGGTTCACACTGGCAGAGGAACTGGTGTGATGTGTAGCCTCAGCTAAGGACTCTGGAACTAGGGCCAGTGACTTCAGAGACTTGCGGCCTTTTATAAATGTGTGAACTTGAAAAGAATTTAAAATGGGGGAGGGAGAAGTGAAATAAAAATTAAAACTACAGAAGCCAGGCATGGTAGTACACTCAGGAGGCTGAGGCAGGATGATGACCATGAGTTCAAGGCCCGTCTAAGCTGCATAGGAAGACCCTGTCTCAAAAAAAAAAAAAAAAAAAAAACTAAAGAAGGGGCTGGGGTTCAGTGGTAGCCTACCTGCTTAGCGTTCTTGAGGCCCTGGGTTTAATCTGAACATAGCAAAAGAGGCCAGGCATGGTGGTGTACACCTGTAGTCCCAGCACACAGGGCGCTGAGGCAGGAGGTTTGCAGTTTGAGTTTGAGGCCTGCCTGGGCTACATAGTGAGTACAAGGCCAGCCTGAACTACAGAGACTGTGAAAATGAGGGCAGCTGCCTGAGCCCAGTGAGCAGCCTGCAGGCTAGGGCATGCCATCTGTGAGAGCAGCATGGTCTGCTGCCCCTTGGGGTGAGGGCGGGGTGGGCAGCCGTGGTGTCTGTTAAGGCTATTGCCGCCCTGTATTCAGTTTGTTAGCTTTTTACATTTTAAGCACTGTTAAGGAATATTAACAGCTGAAAGTTTGACAAGGGTGAAAACATCACCTTAGACTGAGCTTTGTGAAAGGGAGGGGGAGGGGTTTAAGGACGGGGCTGGAAACAGGAGGCGGAGCTGAGATGCACCTGGGCAGGTGCAGGCTCCAGGTGTGAACGTCCTCTCGGTGTGAATGTTCTCTGTTCTCTCATAATGTGCATCTCAGTTGAGCCAGTGAACTTCAGTCAACTTAAAACCCCCAGGAGGCTGCTGTATGAAAGCATCAGCACCTTCTTATAAATGTCGCTTAAATGCGTGAATCCTGCACACTCTGGCTCTTACTATCTGTGAGATTGAAGGGAAAACGTTTCCTTTCAAATTGGCTAAAGTAGGATTGACTAACCTATTTTAGGGCTCAAATTTATTGCAGACTTATCAAAATACATGTGCGCAACTATTTAGGATTCTTATCTACCCAGAGTTAACTGTGTATCTTTGCTTTTCGGTTTCATACAGGAATCCCTCTTCTCTCAAGGTCCACTGGTTATGAAATGATTTTTCTTAAGTTAGGCTTTTATAAGTTAGGTTGACCTGATATTTGTATTTTCTGTTAGCTGCACAGTTGGGGATCTTCAGACCAAGATAGATGGCCTGGAAAAGATGAATTCAAAGCTTCAAGAAGAGGTTTGTCAATTGAAGTTCTTAAGCAAAACCGACTGTGTCTTTGGTAGTGTGACCGGAGTGCTGGCCACCAGGAAGGTGACTTGGCGACCTCTGCCAGCTGCTGGGCCCCAGCAGGTCACTGCAGCAGTCCCAAGCCAGGCGCCGGGATAGATCCTGTCACCTCCCTCAGGGACAGGATCTATGCCTTGGGGTCGTGCCTTGGTGGAGCTGCCCAGCCCCAGGAGCACAGCCACTGCCTCTCTGCGCTGTGTCCGCCCTGGAGTTTGGGCTGCTCAGGGGCATGGCCCAGTCTCCCCACAGCCTGCCCTTTCTTCACTTCCCCCTGGGAAGAGGACAGGACAGGAAGAGAGAGGATAAGAGCAAGCAAGACAGCTTGCCGCTGGCCTGGCTGCCGGAGTCTTCCTGTCCCCTGCTGGCTGAGGGACTGCTCCGCCTCTCAGGCTGTGCTCAGGGCCCCTCGCTTGTTCCATTTGGAAGGACAAGGGCTTTGAGAGGACTCAGAAAGGAGGCAGCAGACAGCCTCAGCAGAATTGACGCTCACCTTTGTGACATCGGCCCGCTATAGGCATGTTTCAGACTGACTGCTCTCCTGAGAGGTGGCTTCCAGGGACAGGGTGTAGAAGTTAGGCCTCTCCAGAGAGCGGCGTCCCTGAGTGTGGCCTGCAAGGTTCACAGTCATGTGTCATGTGGACCTGGGAGCCTCCTTGCGTGTAGGCAGGTGGCCTTCACCCGAATTAGGGGGGAACACACACCTCATGGGACTGGGAAATGGCCTCAGGGCCCAGCCCAAATGGGCACTGCAACGGGGGCTAATTTGCTCCCCTTTGCTCACTTGGACCAGGTGGCAGTTTTGACTGCAGGCCAAGCGCCCTGAGAAGCCAGGCAGTGGGGTTTGCTTTGGCCCACAGATGGTGCGAAGAGTGCCTCAGAACTGGTATTCCTTCTGGCTCCTCACTGGGTTTCAGGAGGGCAGCGCACAGTCCCTAAGAGCTCAGCCTGCTCCTTCACTTGGGACAGCTGATACCGCCTTCCAGGCGGTGGCTTAGGACCCCAGCTGGCTCCCCTGTGAGCGGAAGGTCATTGTGCAGAGCTTTAGGGACTTTGCCATCCAGAGAGGCCCAAGTGGCTGTGGGTCCCTCGGTCCACAGAGGATGAGCCAAGAGCAGGCTGTTCACGTAAGAAGGCAAAGTGAACAGTCAGACGCGCGAAGGTTCGTAGAGAACCCTTGCGGTGTCAGGTAGTTCGTATGTAATCTGAGTGGTAAGAAGGCTTTTGGTGCTAAGGAATGTAAAAACCTTTCTTTATCAGCTTTCAGCTGCAACAGGCCGGATTTGTTCGCTTCAGGAAGAGCAGCAGCAGTTAAGAGAGCAGAACGAGTTGATTCGGCAGAGGAGTGAGAAGAGTGTGGAGGTGAGGGTCCTCGCCCGGGGGCCCTGCGTCACCTCCAGGCTGCCCTCGACCTGTAGCACAACACGCATGCCGCGTGGGCTGTTGCAGGGCTCTGCTGCTCCTGGGTGGTGATGAGCGTGCTTCCAGTCTGCAGTGCATTGAATCCCCCAGTACAGAGCTTGCGACTCTAGGGCAGCTGTGGTTCGTAAGGAACCTGGCCCCAGGACGTGCAGAGGGCACCCACACTGCCCCACCCGGGCCTTGCACCGAGTCCCTACTCGTCCTGAGCAGAGCCCACTGTGCCCACTGGTGGTGTAGAGGAGCTCGGCCCCTTCCCCTGCATTCCCACAGCTCCTCCCCGGCCCCTAGCAGTCTCGCCAGCTGCAGCGCTGACCCCCGACCACTGAAGGCCCAGTCTGACTCGTACGCTCAGGGCTGATTAAAAGCATGGGCAGAGAATGCTGAGCGGTGGGTCAAATGAGCGTTTCCTCCGAGGCACTGTCATCTGTTCTAAAGAAAATTAATTGCTATAGAGATCTAAATTTTCCTTCAAAAACTTATTGACTTGCTGAGCATAGTGGCACATGCCTGGAATCCCAGCTCTGGGGAGGCTGAGGCAGGAGCATCAGGATGAGTTCAAGGACAACCAAAAAAGTTGACTCACTCTCATCTTTCATCTCCAAGTTACAATCTCCTTAAGATTTTGAACCTTCCCGATTGTGTTTGAAAGGCAGAAGTCATCCTGCATTTTCAACAGCACCGTGGGCTTTTCCGAACTGTACTGTGTAGCCCACGCACGTGCTGTCTGTAAGGAAACCATTGCTCCTGTTTCACAGATAACCAAACAGGACACCAGAGTCGAGCTGGAGACTTACAAGCAGAGCCGGCAAGGGCTGGACGAGATGTACAGCGACGTGTGGAAGCAGCTGAAGGAGGAGAAGAAAGTGCGCCTGGTGAGCAGCTGCTGCTCCAGGCAGGCGGGCCCCGGCTGCCTCCGTGTTTATGAGCCTTTTAGAGGCCACTGAGGCAGCACTGTCCTCTCACTGTAACTCTGTCCTGGTTGGTTCCACACCTTCCGGGTCAGCGGCCCAGGTTCTTCATGAAGCCCCGTTTTGGTTGGTTTTTTTGTTTTGGGGGGTCCCGGAATTGAAGCTAAGCCCAGTTCTTAAGCCTGCCGTGTCCCTCTGCTCCCTGGACACCTGCAGAGTAGTATGTCCCGAGGCGCTGGGGATGGTGACAGCCGTTTTCAAGCAGTGCTCCTGTGTGCTGAGAGCAGGACCCGGTCCTGTCACACTCAGGGCCCTTCCCGCTCGGCACAAGGCGGTCTGACCGGGCAAGGCCCGATGCTGTGCCCGGCCTGTGTTCCTAGATCCGCTCCTGCCCACCAGACTCAGAGCCAGCTGCCTCTGCCCATGAGAAAGAGGAGGAAACGTCCTCCAAACCTGTCTTTCGCGCTGAGATCCTTCAGGCAGGCCCAGGGCATGAGGTCCCTGCAGTGCATTCCTGAAGTCCACCGCAATGGCACTTTCCTTGTGCGTGTCCTTCAAAGGAACTAGAAAAAGAACTGGAGTTACAAATTGGAATGAAAACCGAAATGGAGATCGCCATGAAGTTGCTGGAGAAGGACACCCACGAGAAGCAGGACACGCTGGTCGCCCTGCGCCAGCAGCTGGAGGAGGTCAAAGCCATCAATCTGCAGATGTTCCACAAAGTTCAGGTGGGCTCCGCATCACTTCGCTGTCCTGCTTTCCTCACCCATCGCCCTCGTGCCGTAGGTGCCAGCTGGTCCTGAGCCCACGGCCAGGACGTTTATTCCATGGATCCTCACACGATAGCTGAGAGGTGGGTCAGCGCCGAGTCCTAACTGTGACAGTACTGAGGTAGTGACAGTACGAACTGCTAAGATAATGTGGCAGGACTCAGTGCTAAGTGTGACAGTTCTGGGTAGTCATGCTAAGTACTAAGGTAGTGCACACTACTAAGACAGCACCCCAGTTTTGTGTTTTGGTGCCCAGCAACTCAGCACAAGCTAACCTTTCATCCCCACTGATGGCGGTGCTGCCTCTGCCATCACCAAGGCTCCGAGGCCGTGGAGCCCTCCCTGCTGCTCTCTTCTGCCAGCGGCCCCCACTTGCAGGGCCGTGGCTTCCTGTGTGTGTGGCAGGGCAGGTGCTAGTTGGCTGTAGAGGGGCTGTAAGGAGACGCCATACTCAGAGGACACCGTGCCTCCAGGCTTTGTGTACACAGCTCCCCTGGAGAGCAGCACCTGTCCCAGCCACCACTTTCCTGCAGCGACCTCAAATGGGATGGTGAGGAGAGCAAGGATGCCCCACTGGCATCAGAGGTGAGAGCAGTCTGCCTGGGTGGGGCACGCTGGTGAGTCAGCACTCAGGAGGCTGAGGCAGGAGGATGCTCATGAATTTGAAGCCAGCCCGATCCATGTAGTGAGACCCCATGAGGGCAGGCAGGACCCCACTCTTCACTGAGTGTCTACAGAGACCCCTCATCCTTCGTGCAGGGCTTGAACTGGACCGTGGACCTCTCAGCTGCTGTCGTGACTGGCTGTGGTGTGGAAAACACCCACACCTCGGGGTCTCAAGGATCATGAGTACACACAGGCTACCTCGCCTGGGCTTTGTTCTGCCGCTCATTTTCAACTGGTGTGATGTATGCCTGTGACCTCGCACTTGCCAGGCAGGCGCTTGTGCCACTGAGCTACATCCCCAGGCCCCTCTTTGGCTGTTTTTTTTTTTTTTTTTTGTCTTTCTTTTTCATACCAAACCAATTGACTTAAAGTTAGTTAACAGTCTGCCACAGAAATGCGCGTGGGAAGATGGAGGTGTAGTTCAGCATTCAAGCACTTGCCTGACATGTGAGGCCTTGGATTTGAGCCCCAGCCGCATAGAAAGCGTAACACACATACACAAGTGTGTAATGCAGACACACATGCGCGTACAGCATGCAGACCCTTCAGCTGTGCCCCTAGGACCTGGCAGAAGCATTTCATCAGCTATGTTTTCTGCATCTCAACATCCCTAAATCAGGATGCCTCTGAACAGGCGTGGGGTCGTGTTTGAGTTACGCCAGCTTCTTCGAGCTGTGTAAAGTTGTCTCCAATGCAGTGAAATATCGCTGGTGTTTTTAGTGTGATACTTCTTAGCTTCTTTCTGGTTTGTTTCTGTTGTTGCTTTGGTCTTGCTTTTCTGGGGTAGAGTTAGGCGGGTCTTGAACTCACTCTATAGCATTGACTGGACTCGAAGTTTCAGCTGTCGTCCTGCCTCAGCCTCCCAAGTGCTAGGATGGCACACGTGCACCATTGCAGCCAGCTTTTATTTTGTAGCTCAGTGGTTGTTAGTAATATGCTGTTTACTCTCCAGGTACGATGTCTACTACTCATTATTCTGTTGCTCATATCGGTTTGTTGTATTAAGGCTGAAGAGTTCAGCTTGCTTCTTAGTTCACTGAACTGTCCCCCTGCATCCAGCCTGTCTGTCCGGTCAAGGGTGTCCTTTGTACACACAGTGCCCTTCCTGGTCACACAGCGTGGGCGACCCCTGACCCTCGTTTGCTCTCTGTGCCCATCCAGCCACTTTGGCTCTGAGCCCTGCCCAGTAGGGAGAAGTGGGCTGCCGGAGAGCACTGCAGGGCCATGCTCTTATGGGGCAGTGGAAAGGGCGCCCAGCGGAGTCTGCCTGTATCTGCTGCCGCTGCCAGTGCCCAGGCCCAGCCCTCGAGCAGAGTGGGGCATGTCCCCACGCTCTCTCTCCGCAGCACTCAGCAAGAGCAGCGAGGACAGAAATGCCCAGGTGCTAGGCACAGGGTAGCAGCTGAGCCCCCTTCGTGACACACAGCAGCAGGGGGACAGTGTGTAAATCCCTGTCCTTGCTCTTGTAGAATGCAGAGAGCAGTTTACAGCAGAAGAATGAAGCCATCACCTCGTTTGAAGGAAAAGCCAGTCAGGTTCTGTCCAACATGAAGCAGATGGAGGAACGGTAATTACCTCCCTGAGGCTGGGTCTTCTCTAGGGTGCCAAGCACTTCTGGGCATGGAGACCCGCCCAGAGCCCCTCAGGGTGAGGACAGGGCAGGGGGCTGCCTACTTCAGGCAGAATCTTGACCAGTGGGAGGGCAGGGTGCAGCCGTTCTGTCCACCGTGTTCAGCCATGGCCCTGGCATCAAGCAGGAGGGTCACTGTGTGTGTGAGTCCAATCCGTGCTGCATAATGAGACCCCATTTCAAGAAAAGAAGAAAACAGAGAAAGTATTGGTACTTTGGCATGGGCAAAGAGATAGAGAAAAACCTGATAAATAAGGCTTTATCAGTCTTACAGCTGAGCATCGTGGTATGCCTATAATTCTAGCATTTGGGAGGCCGAGGCAGAAGGATCATAGTTTTGAGGCTGGCCTGGGCAACTTCGCACAATGCTTCTCACAGTAAAACATATTTCAAAAGGATTGGAGGGGTAGCCCAGCGTCAGAGTGGCACTGTGTTCAAATTCCAGTACCAAAAAGTGCTCTAGGACAGGCATAGCTAAGAATAGAAAGTTAGGGATTTGGAGAAAGCATGCAGATCCTGGTCTGGTGGAGAACTTGTGTCCAGAATATGTAACAAACTCGGAACTGAACTCAAGTGATCCCATTTTAAAATAAGCAAAAGACTGGGCCACTCAGCTAGGAGGCCGTGCAGCTGGACAGGATGGGTGCGGATTTCGGCACCAGGAAAGCTGCAGGGCACAGCAGTGGGCTCACTGCTGCCCTCAGAGGGGTCACTTGCCGCGCGGCTGGACCAACCCAAGCAACCTTCCCGCCTCCCTGAGCTGCAGGCAGCCGGCTGGGTTGGTGTTTGAATCAGAGTATCAAATATAGAGGCAGATGCAGAGCGTGGAAACAGGCTGTCTTTACTGAGGGCGAGTGGCTCCAGGAGGGCGCAGAGGGCATGTGGGGCTGCAAGGGCTCACGCATGTGTGTGGTCTGAGGAAGACACACGGAACCTCGGCAGAGCTCAGCGGTAGAGCGCTTGCCTCACATGCACAAAGTACGGAAATCACCAGCACTGCAAAAAAGAACAGGAGCTTCGGGGTGCCCCTCCCCCTGCACATGAGTACACACGCATTGGTCTCAGTCCCTTGCACAGATGGGCTCTTCACCTGTGCTTGCCCTGTGGCCTCTAGGTTACAGCACTCGGAGCGGGCACGGCAGGGCGCGGAGGAGCGGAGCCACAAGCTGCAGCAGGAGCTCGGCGGGAGGGTCGGCGCCCTGCAGCTGCAGCTGGCGCAGCTGCATGAGCAATGGTAGGCCAGCGCAGGCGGCGGCAGCAGCCAGGCGGAGCGGTGTGGGCCTGGCCTCCCAGCTTCCCCTCCCCGGCTCAGCCGTGTGCTGTGAAGCCCTGAGGGTGAGGAGGACACCCGCATGGGAAGGCACAGCCTGGCTGACCCCTGCCTCCCTCCCCGCCTCCCTCCCCACCCGGCACCAGCGTCCTAGTCCTGGTGTCCTCGTCTTCATTACCAAGGTGTGGGCTGAGAGGCAGCTGTCCCCACCTGTGAAGGGTTAGGAGGGTCATGGCTCACGGGTCTTCCATGAAAATCTCCCTCCGAGACTAATTCCACTTCTTTTTGGGAAAACAGTTCAAGCTTAGAGAAAGAGCTGAAATCAGAAAAAGAGCAGAGACAAGCTCTTCAGCGAGAACTGCAGCATGAGAGGGACACCTCCTTGCTGCTCCGGACGGAGCTGCAGCAGGTGGAAGGGCTGAAGAAGGTGAGCGGCTGCCCTGCAGCGGCCGGGTACAGGAGCACCGGCCTCCCAGGGCGCAGAGGCTGGTGCTGGCAGCCAGGCCTCCCCCGGGGCACGGTGCCCAGGCTGGCATCATGAGGACCCCGCTGGTGGAAGCTGCGCAGGCTGGGGGCCGAGCCGCACTTCTGTCCGCGTGGTGGGTGTCCCCTCTGTTCTGCTCTGAGACTGCTGTGCGTTTGAATTCCCCTCACGCCACCCGCAGTGAGAGAAACAGCATGGCAGCTGGCGTGGAGCATGCAGAGGCCACCTGGGAGCCAGGCTCACTTCTGGTCTCTGTCCCACCTTGCAGCCCCGCCGGCCCTTCGGTAACAGCTCTGTCCCAGTGAGCGTCCCTCCCTGCAGCCCTCCCTGGGCCTGGCCATCCTTGCTGTGGACAAACCTTTCTCGGGGCCCGGACTCACTGGGCGTAGTCTAGCCATCCCCCCAGCCCCACTGTGGGCCAGAACACCTGCCCCTGCTGCCCTGTGGGCCACACTGCTCACTGCTCCATCCCTGGCCCAGAGCCACTGTGCTGTTCCCCTCAACTGCCCATTCCCAGTAACGAGCTGGGGAGAAGTCCCCTGTGAAAAGCAACTTTATTGCAGAACCACATTTTGCTTTTTGTGAGACATTCTGATAGGCATGTTGCTCTGACAAAAACTAAAAAATAACAAGCCAGGTGTGGTGGCACACCGTCTGTAATTAATCCCATGCCCTGGGAAGCTGAGGCGGGGGATTGCCTCAAGGTCAGGGCCAGCCTGGGATCCCTAGTGAGTTCAAGGTCAGCCTGAGTTAGAGACCTTGTATCAGAAACAAACGTGAAACTTGTGACTCGTGTCAGATGTCTGGTTTGTCCCTTTCAGGAGCTTCGGGAGCTCCAGGAGGAGAAGGTGGAGTTACAGAAGGTCTGTGAGGAGCAGGAGCAAGCCCTCCAGGAAATGGGCCTGCACCTCAGCCAGTAAGCGGGGCCTGCTCTCCCTCGGGTGCAGTCACCGAGTCCTGGTGACTTCCCCTGGGGCTGTGCTTCTCCAGTGACTGGGACAAGCTAGAGGAGAAGGCCAGGCAGCCATGCCCATGACATCACAGCCACCTGCCTTTCTGGGAACCCAACCCTGGAGCCACTGGTGTCTCACTGGCTGGGGCGGTGGAGTGGTTCTGCCCCACTGCGGCTGGGTACCTCTGTGCCACGTCCCAGCCTGGCCAGGCTTCTGTGGTCACCCTGGGTGGATGATCCCCATCCGTCTCTGCTCCTCAGGCCCCAGGCTGTGCTCAGCCAGCTACCTGACAGGGTAGAGCTGCCCAGGTCCCACTGTATGCCCCGGGGTCCCATCATCCTCAGTGAGCACACGAGGGACCCTGATGGGAACTGGGATTCAGCAGTCAGCAGCTTTCTCCCCTTGAGTCGGGACCCTTCTGGGTGCAAATGACAAAAACTGCTTAAAAACAAAAAGTCACCAGGGGTTGGTCAGTCAGCAGAGCAGGCTAGCACTAGGCAGTGCCCTTCTGCACGGCCCCTGGCACCTGAGGGAACACAGTGCCAGCCCACTGGGAGTACGGCCAGGAGCCCAGGGCTGGGACCCTGAAAGTGAGCTGGGCCCACACTGCCGTGTCTCCAGACCCACTTGGGGCCTGAGGCAGGGCAGGGGCTTCTGCCCTGCACAGCATGACACCGGCTCTGCCCCGGGCTGCAGACTCGGAAGCAGCCTGCAGTCTGAGCACCTCGCTGTGCCCTCTTGCTGAGCTTGGGTCGCATGGCAGACTTTCCCACTGCTCAGGTGGACTTTGTATTTTTGGTTTTCTCGGCACTGGGGATCAAACGCAGAGCCTTGTGCGTGCAAGGCGAGAACTCTACCACAGAGCCACATCCTCAGCCCAGGTCCGTCCATTTTTCTGTCTGCTTTCTTAGATCCAAGCTGAAGATGGAAGACATAAAGGAAGTGAACAAGGCCCTGAAGGTACGAGGGTGTCGCGGTTAGTGTGACCGCTTCCGCACACCAGCACGGGGTGAGCCAGGCCTCTAGGCTGAGTAGCACCTCCAGCCCTTCTGTATTTTTTATCTTGAGACAGGGTCTCCCCAGGCACTAAGTTCCCCATGCTGGGCTCACACTTGCTGTCCTGCCTCAGCCTGAGGAGGGCAGGGATTCCAGGGTCCCCAGAACCAGCCTCTTGTGGGAGACACTCACCTTCAGCTGGGATGGCATGGCAGCCGCTGCCAAGCTGGAGCATGGCTTGACTGCAGCCCCTCTGCCGTTAACAGCAGTTTGCAGAGACTCAGCTGGCAGGTCCCTGGGGCGGCAGGAGGAGGCAGAGAGCCCTGGGCATTTTTGGCACGCTCGTGGGGAGACCCCGCCCTCCTGCAAAGCCCTGCTGCAGTGCCGCGGGCCAGGTTCAGGAGCAGCCTCTACCCTGGGGAGCCATGTGGGCACCCGGCTGCCACCAGCTCCTGGACGTCCTCACTGGCGGCTGGCTGTCTTTCTGTCCCCAGCCTGCACACAAGTGTGTGCAGGACGACAGCCGACAGCTGGACGGAGGCTGGGCTTGGGCCCTGAGCGCTGGCTCGAGGTACACTGGGCCAGCTGTGGGGTCCCAGGGCCTGCTCCCTACCACTGCGACCACGTTTCATCTACAAAGTTAGGTACGGCAGAGGCCAGGAGCCGGAAAGCACATCACTCCTGTGACCCCTCTGGACACAGCCGTACCCCTGCCTCAGTGTTCACAGCTGGTGACTGTGACCTGGGGGAGACCTGGGAGGCTCCTGTCACCCCACACCTGGCCCAGTGGCCAAGGGCCTAGCCTCCCTGCACTGGCTCAGGGTGGCTCAGTGGGTGCCACACATGCTGTAACCTGACCCAGCAGGGCTCCACCCAGGGGTGTTTATAGAAGGGCTGAGGAGGTCCTGGCTGTGGCAGGGCTAGACACCATGCTAAGTCCGGGGATGCCACAGGCATCCCCAGGAAAGGACCGCTTGGCAGGGCCAATGGAAAATGGCATCCCTAGGGGGCTGGGGATTTAGCTTGGCGGCATAAGCACCTGCCTTGCAAGCAGGCAGTCGTGAGTTCAATCCCCGGTACTGATAAAAAGGAAAAAGACAAAAAAAAAAAAAGAAAGAAAGAAAGAAAACGGCATCCCTGGTGCTCCTCCCTCCCCAGGGCCACACCTGGCTGAAGGACGACGAAGCCACCCACTGCAAGCAGTGCGAGAAGGAGTTCTCCATCTCCCGCAGGAAGGTGTGCCCGGGCTGCCAGCGAGCCCTCCCTCTGGGGAGGTGCAGTGCTTTCCCCTCGAAAACCCTCTGCGCAGCAAAAGAAAATCTAGTGGGTTTTTGCCAAAATAGTCCCTGGAGGAACTGTGGAGGTGGCTAAAGGCACTGGTGACTCGGGCAGGTCGGGTCACAGGTGCTGGTGTGACCCTCTCTGGGTCGGGAACAGGCAGAGGCCTCTGACAGCCCCTCGAGACAAGCCGGCAGGAAGAAACATCACAGAGGCAGGCAGCCGTGATCGTGGTCCCCAGCTGTCCCCACCACGGGCCTTGGGAAAAAGGGCAGAGCTTACCCTGTGCGTAGGGCCCCAGTGGGCCAAGGCGGTCCTGTGGGTGGCAGGGCCCTGGGGTGGGACTGGGCGTGGTGGAGCACAGGCTCAGGCTCACCGGAGCCCCATCAGGCTGTGGCCGCCCCTCCAGCATCTGCATTGCTCTCCCCTCAGCACCACTGCCGGAACTGCGGCCACATCTTCTGCAACGCCTGCTCGGCTGGTGAGCTAGCCCTGCCCTCCTACCCGAAGCCAGTGCGCGTGTGCGACAGCTGCCACAGCCTCCTGCTGCAGCGCTGCTCCTCCACTGCTCCCTGAGGGGACAGCTCCACGTGTGCCTGGCCGGCCTCCAGTCTCCCTTTCGGGCAGCACCACCGCGTGGACCTGGCTTTGCCTGCCGTGGTGGCCTCTCCAGGCTGCACCGCTCCCGCTGATTGGTTCCAGCCCTGGCTGTGTCCCGGACGTGACTTCATGGTTTTGCTACTGTCACTTTCTGCATCTCAAAGATGGAGCTTTGCAGCAGGGGAACCAGTCTCCTGCCAGGTTTTCTCCTCCCCCTCCCCGGGGCCACAACTTGTACCTGCACAGTGCTGCATAGTGCATCAGCCTCTGGGTGCCCGTGCCTCATTCAGCAAGACCAGATCCTACGTGTTCGTGTGCCCCAGGCCCTGAAATAAATTCCTGTTTTTTCACTGTAAGCCTGCTGAGCTGCCAGTGTCTTCCATAGCTGCTGTCCTAGGTGGGCTCTGCACTACTGCTGGGGTCAGGTGACGGAGCTGGAGTGTCCCCTTACACACAATGCTTGGCTGAGGTGGACTGTGTCCAGGTAAATTATTCTAAATCAACCCACTCAGCCCCACTTCTGTTAGAAGCTTCCTTTCCCCAATAAATATATTCTGCTCGTTTAAAAAAATGCACTTAAGGTCAGCCGTGGTGGTGCACACCTGTAATCCCAGCACTCAGGAGGCTGAGGCAGAAGGATCACCGAGTTCAAGGCCAGCCTGGGCTACATAGCAAGACTATCTGCAAAAAACAATAGAGGGAAGGAAGTTCCCCGCACCGTGCCTACCAGTCCAGAGTTTTTCTTCCTTTTAGCGCCTGCTCTCCGCTTCAGCTGTACTCCAAGCAGCAGGTTTACCCTGGACACCTGGGCCAAACACAGCAGAGCTTGTGCCCGACTCTACCTTCCAACAGCCCACAGGGAAAGGGTGTGGGTATCCTACAAACGAAGCTTCAGGCTCGGGCGTGCAAGGTGGTTTAGGGAGGGCTGGTGGGTGGGCAGGGTGAGTGTGGGGCCAGGGGCTGTGCAGCAGTTCCCACCATGTGGAAGGCTCTGGTTAGTGCTGGCAGGGGAAGGGGTGTCTGGAGCCACTGCTGTGCAATTCCAGAAAATGGGACTGGCCACAGACCGAAGCCAAGGTGGTCCTGGATCCACTCCAGACAGATGGCAAATCTGAGCTCTACTGTGGCCCTTTTCCTCCGGACGGCCACACTTAAAACTACATTGTCACTTAAGGACACAGAATAGCCCACAGCCCTCAACACCAGGTCTGGCTCTCGACTAACCAGAACCCTGAGAGCAGACAGGCAGTGCCACTGCTCACTGCCCCAGCAACTTCCTCCCTAGCTGCAGTAAGGCCAAAGCCCCCACACCCAAGAATGTCCCCCCGATAGCAGGGGATGTGGCACCTCTCAAAGGCCTTTGGGGCACTCCATGCAAGTCTTCCACGTGCTGCCAGAGATAGACCTGAAGTGGCCAGCACTTCTGTCCATCGTGCTTAGACACAGCTAGGAGGAAGGTACACTCACCTTCCAGCACAGCCATCTCATCTTTGGACCCCCTGTGTGTCTACAAGGGCCTGGCGGCCATTCCCAAACCACAGCGGCCAGAGGGTCCACTCAGCATTCTGGGCCAGCAGTGTAAGGCTTTTCCGAAGCAAACCTCTCCGAGTTCAGCCCAGCAGTGTCATTTCAGTAACTGCAGTCAGTCAGGTTTGCTGTGAAACACTGGCAGGAGTCCGTGTTCTGCTGTGGACTACACTTTCAGGAACACAGCAAAGCAAGACACAGATTCCAACAGCCTGAAAACCGTGCGGCGTGTTTAAGTACAGTGCCTGGCATGGGCAAGGCCCTGGGGTCACAGCCCACCATCAGAGCCCCAGGCACCCTCACCAACCCCTCAGCCATAGCCAGAGCACCCAGACCAGGCTCAGCGCTGAAGTAACCTGCAGCTGAGAAGCCAAAGCTCTGTAATGGCAGGACTGTGGGGCTCCGACAGCCCAAGACATGACCCTGTACCTGGCTAGGGACAGGGCACCAGGACAGACACTCGGCAAGCTCAGACAAGGCAAAACGCAGTTTTTGAAAGATTTATTTGACAAGTTTCACTTAGCGCAATACACCTAAAAGGAAATCACAATACAATGAGATTTAAATCAAGGCCTCAGAATTTCATACAAACACCAAGACCGAATCCTAAGGTACTGGTATTGCGTCTCAAAAATTCCCCATTAACTTAAAAAAAAAAGCTTAAATTTACGTGCCTTACAGGTTATTAAATGAAACTAGAATTAACATGCCAAATGTTTTACTGTAATTGTAGACAGCTCCTCTACTGAATTTACAAACAGCATGTCTTTCAACATGCATCTGAACAGTGTTCTGTAACGTGGTATGAGCAACATGTAACATAATTCAACTGCGTTAACCTAATACACTTACTGCTTAAGTACATCCTACAATATAACTAACTTGAGAAAAGCTGAAAAGCATTTAACAGTTACAGTCTACTCAACTCTGATGTTATTTATATCCTGGATAACTTGTGTTCAAAAATAATGAACCTTGACTCTTGAAAACAATCCTGATTTTCACTGATAAGAGTAAGCATAAATCACAAGCTTGGGTTGCAAAAAACTGTTAAACTCAATGAAGATGTTTTTTCCTTTAAAAAAGTTGACCAGGAGTCAGTGAGCGGGAGGAGTTACATTCCCCAGCCACCACTCACACTGGACATGCTAGACACCCCTCCCATGCCGTTCACGCCCACGGATGCTCGGCTTCCACTACTGTAGTAGCTGCTGTCCACTGCTCCTTGGCTGCCTGCGAAGAGATCAATTTGACAAGTTAGTAGTAGTGTGGGCCAGCCAGTCAGGCAACTTAAAACACAGCATTCCAAGAAAAAGTTAAAAAGGTATACGAGTACAAATGGCTGCTGTCCAAGTGGCGAGAAGCACGTTTGGGAAAGGGGGATTCCGACTCCAAACAAGTCCCGATAACCCCTTTCTCTCCAGTACAAACTTGCCAGACTCTTGTGCTACCATTTAAACAGATTCTTCAGGATCAACGTGGAAAATTAAGTTTAAAGGAAAACTAGTGTTTTTCAAAAATTGCAAAATTACTTGATGTTTTTAAAGCTAAACAAGGCAGTTTTTAAAAAAATTTACCATAACGTTCACAATGTCCATCCAATGGCACTTATGAATAGGAGCACAGGGGAAGTCTCTTGCTTTTCCTATTCATAGTGAGCAACAAGTGAGCTGACAGCTGGACTAAAGGCCACTCACTGTGCCCACGGGCAGCCTCCACGGAGTTAAGTCAGAGCCACTGACCGCTAGAGATAGTGGTTTACAACATCAGCATCTGCTATTGGGAATTTAAGTTATATTTTTTGAGAAAATATTTACCTATGCAATGTTTGATTGAAAATCACTGGAGTTTTCCTGTAAAACTTGGTCTGCAAAAGGATTTTGTAGGGTAAGACTATCATACCAAAATCACCATTCTTTAGACCAATTGAAAAAAATAATAAAACCATCCCTAGGTTAACTGACTAGTGTTAAAATACGGTCCTGAACCCAACCACCATTCTATTTAAAAATCTTCAAAAATCGATTTAATGCTAACCAAGGCAGAAAAAAAAACCTAATGTTCTAACAAATGAAGGCAGATGTTTTCTGGCTCGACAGTATGTCAAAGTTCCAACGACTAAAATTCTTGTAACACTTCCCCCCCATGATTGTTTCTGAATAAGCTATTAAGAACAATTAGGATTAAAAGCACATTATTTAAATAACCCAATCTCACCAAACAAAAAGAACCCTGCATATTCCCAACTACAGAAATCTACCTAAGACTTATTCTAGGTGTGTGAAAAACGCACAAAAGCTTACCGTAGCCACTCATGCTGCTCTGGCCGCCGTAGCCGCCTCCATAGCCACCGCTCAGCTGCTGGCTGGCCGGGCCACCATAACTGGACTGGTTTGCTGTTAAGAGAACATTAGAGCCTCACTCCTCATGCAGTGTGGTACCTGGTGGTACCGGGCTTGTAACTCTAAGTCTATGATTTCCAGCCTCAACCCTCTATTGCTATAACCCGCTACCTGCCTTCTGCCTTGCCTGTGGTCTATATAACCAGACTAACCCTTCTGTTTATCTCAGCTAGTCACACATTTATGAACCAACTGATTCACATAACACACATCAGCAGGAATAAATCCACGATTCCACAGTAGTAGAGGCCTTGTGAAGATCTTAAAATGTGGTTAGGATTTAGTGGAGCAGCCCCTTTAGTCTGGTATGTTAAGCTCTATGTCAATACACAGGTATCAATCCACACCTAATTATGCCCACAAAGTTAATTTTAAGCCTGTTTTTACTAGTTTATATTTAATCTTGTGTATTCAATTTAACTAGTTCCATTCTATAATCCCCTCCCCCAAAGTACTTTAACGTAATTTTATCCTAAGCAGTTTTATGTAATGAATATTGATAGTACTAATTACAAAATTTATCCAAATTAAACTATTCTCTGCCTAAAACCTTTGTTAAGCTAACTTAAAATTTTTCTGCTAAATTCATTAAATATAATTAACTTACAATCAACTTATACAGATAAAATGTTTTGGTTTTTAAAAAAACTAACGATATTTACACAAGCCCATGCCTCCCATCATTTGGCTACCATAAGCACCACCGCTTGCTCCTGCTGTAGAATTCAAGAAGAGTTCTACATATCTGTGTTCTGAAATGAGAGAAAAGGCATACAAGGTTAGCTTAAAAAAAGACACTAAAGTGATATTTACACAAACCCATGCCTCCTAGCATTTGGCTACCGTAAGCACCACCGCTTGCTCCTGCTGTAGAATTCAAGAAGAGTTCTACATATCTGTGTTCTGAAATGACAAAAAAAGAAGTATGAAAATGCATTTTGATGAAACACAGAGTAAGCATTTTGAAAAGTTCTCATACAAGTTGATTCGTAAACTTCAAATACTTTTTGGTTCAAAAAATTAGCTACTTTTATAAAAACAAACTAGTCTCAACATTTATCTGAACTGTCAATGAAAGACAAACTTCACAACACAATCATATTATAAATTCCTCTTTTCTTTTTGAGACAACATCTTGCTATGAACTCACTATGTAGCTCAGACGGGCCTTGAACTTGCAGCAGTCCTCCTGTCTCTGCCTCTCAAGTGCTGGGGTTGTACAGGAATGTGTTACCACGCCCAGCCCTGCACACTAACTTTAAAAACCTACAAACTTCAACACATCCAAACCAACCCCCACCAGTGGAAATCGATTTTCTCATGCATCCTTAAAATGCTCTCATCACACTTACGCATATTTGCTTTGTCTTTTGACATGGCTGCAACAGCATCTTCATGAGTTGCGAATTCAACATCTGCTTCCCCAGTAACTCTCCCATCAGGACCTATCTCAATGTGTACTCTCACAGGGTTGAGCGGTGAAAAGAACTGCAACACATGACACACCAAAATATTCCTTTTGCAGTGCTGGGACTAAGCCCTGGACTCAGGCTTGTGAAGCAAGCACTCTACCAGTCAGCTACACCACAAGCTCAACTTTCTAACATGGAACATTTCATTACATGATGTTCACTAAGAGGCTTAGAGTTAAGTCTCACACTGAAATACCTGACTGAATCCACCTTGCACTTACATTATAAATGTCATTCTCGGTAGCTCGGTATGGTAATCCCCGCATGTGCACACAATGTCCAGTTGTGCTCTGGAAAGTAGAGCCACCATCCCCGTATCTGTGATCAGACATTCCTGAAAAACAGTAATTGAGGTCTAGATGAACGAAAGTGTAAGTATCCTCCAAGTGGGAAATTCAATTCTTACTTTACCTCTTCCAAATCTATCTGACCCAAATCCATAGCCATCATTATAGCCGTTGTAATCATCATAGCCTCCATAGCCTGAAAAACAAAAGTGCGATTAAGCAAATGCTGATACATAAGACAAAGGAGAAAAGAACAGTCCAGTATTATAGAGAGCATCACTCACCTCCACCGTAGGCACCACGCCTCATCCTCTCAAAGCCAGCTCCTCTGCCAATGCTGTTATACCCTCTGCCAGCCCCAGGTCTGTCATAGGGGCCTGGCCGCTGCATGGCCATAAGCTTTCGTGGCGGGTCATAGTGAGTTCTAACTTCAGCCCGACTGCTCTTAAAGATCTCAATATACCTAAAGCATTTTCCAAGAGGAAGGGAGTGGGGAGGGGAGAGAAAACATTAGTTCATTTCATATAGGTGCTTAGTTATACAAGAATACAATCTAGTCATAGCCATGAAACTGACTAATATTTAAAGCCAGATTTCTTACATTTGCATAGGCAATGACCAGAAATTCACTCAATAATAGAACAATATAATGTAAATTTAACAGGAAAATTAAAGTCACTCCTCTGAGACAGAGCCCAACCTTAGGGGTAGTGAGGAGCACTACAAATCAACAGTTCAGGAGGGAATGAATTCCACTCAACTTTCAACATTGCAACTCAGATCCACTGGCAGCATGTATAGCAAGTGGGCTCGAAAGCCAGCCTTCGCCAACAGTCCAGCCCACACTACACACTTCCTGTTGCCAAGAAAGACCCCAGCCTATGCTTTTAGTAGGAATCAGCATAGGTAAGCGCATGCTTCAATGAAAAATAGTCACAAGCAAAGAGAATAAAACCTTTTGTGACAATTTCTTGAAAGCTATGCTTATTAATACATATGCAGAATATTTATACAGCAAGAAAGTTTGTTGCATTTCAACTTTAAAAACAAGATCAGAAAGTATCACATTTTCTTATGGTAATATTAATTTACTAGTTGGGTGTTATTACAGCTAAGCCAGGTTTGCATTAATTTTTTAAAGCCATAGTCTCTCAACTCCAGTGACTGGGGCTAATAAATTAAGAATCTTATAAAATCCTAAAGTAAATCAAATAGGTGACAATTTTAAAACCTCAAATTCAGTTTGAATGTAATATAGGACAATGACAGAGAAGTTTGAAATGGTGGCAAAAGATCAATTAATGGGGACAAGGTAATGGACAGATAGATTTCTTCCTCTTAAGCAGAGAGAATATGGATTTAACTGTTTACCATAAGAAAAGTGACAAATCCACCAGCCATCCATCCCCACCTGTGCCCTATTCTTTCCTTGTGTTTCTTTAGAGCCTTTTCAGCTATTTCCTGTGAAGCAAACTGCACGAAGGCCTCCCCCGTACTCCTCCCCTGGAAGTCCACCGGCAATGTTATCCCATTTGGCACGATTTCCAACCCTTCAACCCAAGGACAAATAACCCCAGTAGGGGGGCAATATTAACATCACAAGCCCAGAAATGATTCTTCTTATAGCTTTAAATAAACCAGAACTTTAACTTTAGGTGAACGGTATGTTTTTCAACAAGTACTCTTTAAAAAGGCATTGCAATAATATGAAGTTCCACTATTAAAAGTACAACACAATTCTTAACACATCCCATGGGGCGCAGTATGCATTTACATTTTTAAAAACTTGCTGCTTCACATAGGGTGCATTAAGAATTCAACAGTAAACACTTATCTATGCAATCAACGTATTGTCGAGAATTACACAATTAAGATAATAAAGTTTCAAGCATTAAAACAAGTTTTACTACATTTAAGACACCTTTTACCTCATTTTATATTTCAATGCTTTAAATTATTGGAACTTCAAGTTTTTATAAAAAGTACACAATTAAACATTTTATATACAAATTCAAACAGTAAATCATATAATCAACAAACATACAATCTAAAACTTTGAACAAACTATCTACACAGCACAGTCATGCATTCTTATGTTCTAACAGTAGTATGATTCACTTCTGGAAATTCCGTTTATGAAAAATCCTTTCCGTGGATACATTCCCAAGCTTACAAAAAGGACTTAAAGCACTTTCCTAGAAGATATGAAATTATGTTCATATTTAACGTTGACAGATAGCATTCAATTCTCACCAATTTAGATAAAACAAAACAGACTTGATTTCAAAAATTCTGACAAAGTATTAGGACTTGGTACATTTTCATCTAATAGTCAAGACTTTAATACTATATAAACCATGAAAGGATTTCTTGCTTAATTCCAGCTTATCACATCAAGAGTATTAATGGTACTTAAAATACATGATTGTAACATTCTGCTAAACATGCAATCTTATCAGCTCTTCAGCATAAAAACATTCAAATACTTTAGGCCCAGAACAATTTCAAAGTACTTTCTATGCTGTTAACTTCAGAATACTGAGAAAAGCAAACTATACTTGCTGAACTTGAGTTTCAGTTAACATTTCATACAGGATGACTAAACTAAGCTCTTCCTATGTTTTTTTTGGGGGGTGGGGAATACATAGAGAACTAAACCATTAGATAAGTATTTATGGTTCTACGACCTAAGTGTCTTATAACAGACATAGTATCACCCTAACTCATTCTAATCTAAAGGTACAGGAGCTTACCTTTAATTGAAATACTCTGCTAAACAGCATGAGAAAAGTAGTGAAAACTGTAGAGGGTAGTCTCAAAAGATCTACTCTGAACTAAGACACTAAATATAGGCAAAATTAACATTTTGGAAGTACTTCTGATTTCCACCTTTAAGATGGGCGTAAGTTATTTGAAGGTCTCCCAGAAGATAGTAATCTCATCTGCATATACTCACAACCTATTTGGTACCTAGACTATTAAACTGTAACATCTACTCAATCAAGTTGCCAGAAGCTAGCCAGAACTCACTGCTCAGCAACAAGACCACATACCTGAGAAGAACTGAACAATTTCTTCCTTGCTACATCCAAAGGGGAGTCCTCTAAGCCGTACAAAGCCATCATTGGCCGTGTCAGGACTATTTGGACCAGTATGCTTCAACACCCAATCCATTTCAACGTTGTTTGACTTGAATACTGAAAGAGGTGCTTAGAATTAGTCAATTTTGGAAAGTCAGAGAACAAAGTTCAGATTTCCTGGGTGTTTAGGTAAGCTAGGAAGAGCTGCCAATAACTCCCTTAGATGACCATTTCCATGCGGTCAAATACCTAAAATTCAGAAGGGGATGAGATCTCTATGTGTTTAACATTGTATTTGTTACTAGGGCAATGTAAATCAAACCTTCAACATATCTGTGTCCCATAGTTTCTCTGTCTTTTTTCAGGGCCAATTTGACTTCATCTTCTGATTCAAGTTCAACAAAAGCCTCGCCACTCGGTCTGCCTTCTCTGGTGTAGATGAAACGAATACCTTGAGCCCCATTTTGAATTTTGCAGTCTGGAAAGAAAATAACCGTTAATACAGAATTTAAAACCCAAAACCACCTCTGGGTAATACAAGTGAGAGTATTTTCACCTGGTATGATGATGCACTCCTGTAACCCACCATGCAAAAGGCTAAGGCAGGAAAACTACCAGTTTAAAGCCAGCTTGGGCTATATAATGACAGAGACTCAAAAAACAAAAAAAAAAAAAATACTTTCGACCCAGGATTTAGCTTAGTGGTACAGCATCTGCCTGGCAAAGCAACCGAGGTCCTGAGTTCAATTCCCAGGACCAAAAAAAAGAATAAATAAAAAAAGAGCAATTCCAACAAAAAGAATACTTTCATCGGGATGTGGTGATGCACTCCTGTAATCCCAGCACTTGGGAGACTGAAGGAATCATTTGCAAGTTCAAGTCTAGCCTGAGCTATTAAGTGAACCCAAATTCAGTGTGAACTGCATAGAGACCCTGTCTCAAAAAACCAAAACCAAACCGAATAAAAACTTTCACATCAGGGGCTGAGGATTTAGCTCAGCGGCATAAGTACCAGCCTTGCAAGCAGGCAGTCGTGAGTCCGATCCTGGTACCGATAAAAATGAAAAAGACAAAAAAAAAAAAAACTTTCACATCACTAGGTAAGTCATTTGCAAAGCCAAAAATGGCCCAAGATACACTATCAACTCTTACGTGTCTGTCTTCAGCATTTAAACTACCATTCTCTCACCCCTATCTTACAAGCTAAGTGGTACAACTTTAATGACGGCTCTAACAGTCTGTGCCATTTAAAGCCTCGACCCCACGCTGGCCCTAACTAGTAAGTGGAGGTGCTCCTGCCTAAGCCTCGAGTGATGAGATTACAGGCACATACATGCCTATACAACCAGCATAAATACTTTTCTCTAAATTTTCCGGAAAAAAAAAAACACATCTGGATCTCGAATTTACGACGCTTCAAGTGCTGGTCTGGGTACTCTTTCAGAATTGCCTTACCAGCAGCCACATGATAGTATCTCACTTGATACTCACCTGAGAGGGTATTAGTGTTACCAAGCTACAATGCTCCAAGGTGCACAGCTGAAGCCAAACCCAGTCCTGCCTCCCGCACAAAGGGCTTCCAGTATACTCAGTTCTTGTATTATACAACTAATTCAGATACAAGTGTCTTTCCCCTACCCTGTAATTTTCGAAACACAACTTTTTTTATCTACTCCTACACTAATGAAAAAGACAAGACGATTGCGGTAGAAATTACTCAAGGAACTTACGCGATGCGCAGGAAAAAAAAAAAAACAGGTTGACAAAAGCCCCGCTCCAGGGTCCTCAGAGGTAAACAGAGCAACATCAAGAACTCCGCGAGCAGGACCTCCTCCATCGCCGCGGCTGCACCAGGAGAGCGCCGAGCGCGAACCGACACCTGCCTTCCCCGGGCAGACGCCAGCCCGCCACACGGTAAGCCTCGGCGCCGCTCAAGATGGCGAGGGCGCGCTCGTCCGTCCCTGCGCATCCTCTCGGCGGACGCCACAGCCACGGCCGTGACGACGCAGCTCCGGGCCCGGACTCTCGTAGTTTCCATTGCGCAACGGGCGGCGGGCGCGGGGGGCCGAAAGGGGGCGCCCGCGACCCCGCCGCCCGCGGCTCTTGCCGCACTCACCGGAGAAGAACCGCTGCACCTCGTCGGCCGAGCAGGACCAAGGCAAACCCCGCACCTTCACCACGAACCCCTCTCCGCCTTCGGTGCCCAGCATCATCGTCTCCTACAGGCTCCCGGCGTCCAGGCGGGCTGCAAGGTGAGCGTGCCGATCGGGCCCGGGAAACGGCCCCCGCCGTCCAGGCGCCCCGTGGCCCCGCGCGCGGACGCCCCGTCCCGCCCCGCGACCCGCCGAGGCCACGCCGAGCACCGGGGACCGAGGCCCCAAGCCGAGGGGGCCCCGGACGAGGTCCGGCGCCAAGGCGAGGAAATGGCGGCGACGCTTCCGCTCCGCCTCCTCCGACATCTCACACAATAGAGTTGGCGCGGCCTGCAGGCCGCGGCGCCGCCGCCGGAGCGCAGCGGTCACCCGCAGCTCCCAGCGGCGGCGCGTAGCTTACCAAGACCCTCTGGGCTCCACCAGAGACTGCGGGGCAAGAGATCGTCCAAAAACCGAACCCCCCGCGGTAGCGGGGAGACAAACAAGGACCCACAGACACTCACCTACCCGAACAACTCTGACGCGGCTGAGAAGAAATGGCCAACGGGCGCCTGCGCAACCTAAATAAGGGCCCTTGAGCGAGCTCTGCGCACGCGCAGCCTGTGCCGGAGCCACCGCCCCCTGCGTCACAGACTGCTGAGGCGCATGCGTGCTTTCAAAGCTGTTCCCTCCTCCTACCCGCCGCTGCTTCCACGCTTGCGTTTGGGTCTCAGCTGCCCCCCCACCTCCAAAAACTCGCGGGACGCTTTTTGCGCCTGCGCCTTCCCGCAAATATTGAATTTGAGCCTTGACGGTTTCGAATTTAATTGTATGCGCATGCGTCTTCCTTCCAACGGGTCTTTCTCCAGCCCGCCGAAGTGGGGGAGGGGCGCAGCGGCCGTCCTTCCTTCTGGAAACGGTCTGGGGCTCGGGATCCGGCTGAGGCGCCCTCCTCCGGCCCTGGCCCTCCGGGCAAGTTGGGCGCGGCCCTCCTCTGCCTCCCTACACCTCTCCTCGCCTCGCTGCTCTCGCCCTTCCCGCAGCAGCTGGAGTTGAGCGGCCCCGGGGTGGCGGACCAGGAGCACGGGTTTCCGAGGAGATGGAGAAAGCGGAAGCCTTGGCCGGGGACGCTGCTCAGCTCACGGCGCCTGCCGGCCAGCGCAAACTCATAAATTCGATCCCCGGTACCAGACGAAAAAGAAAACAACGGGATTCTCTTGAATTAGTTCTTTTCTTTGTTTTTAATTGATTTTTTGGAGATTGGGGAGGGGTCTCACTGTGTAGTCTCGGCTGGCCTCGAACTCGTGGTAGTTCTCCTGTGCTGAGGTGACAAGTGTGCGCCACCAAGCCCGACTTACTTCCTTATTTTTTCTTTAAAGTCATCTTACACCCTACGTGCTTCTGTGGTGCCTGTGGTCCCAACTACTAGGCAACATAGTGTTGTCTCGAGAAAGATAGCTGGCCATTTAGGGACTTGGTGAGGCTCTGTCTCAAAATAATGAAAGTAATAATCTGTGGATGTTCAAATTGATCTCAAACTTAATGGCAATTCTCCAGCCTCAGCTGCCCAAGTGCTAGGGTTACAGGTGGGAGCCACCACACTCAGCTAAGAAAAGGAAATCTAATGTATGATTCTCATAGGAGGATAAGATGATTTCCTTAACATAGGTGTCTAGAAGTCAGTTACTCCTTGAAAGGCTCTGAGTGTTTTTACTGCTAGTGACAGTAGACTTTCCTCACTCGACAATCCTCTGCTGTGTGAGCTTTCTGTGACTTGAGAATCCCCTCCCCTCTAAGTTGTGCTAATTTAATACGGAAAGAAAACAAACTGTCTCTCATTTGCCTTTGTTTGATAACTAGTGAAGTAAAATAAATGTAGCATAGCCCAATTTTCTCATATCATTTATCAGAATATTTAAAAGTTTTCTCAAACAAAAAATGTTTTCTCGTATAAAAGTTCAACTTCCTTCTTCAGGCTCCTTGGCCTTGGTACTCTTCCCTTCTAGAGCTAAGGAACCCTAACTAACCCCTCACCCAGGGTTTTTGCACAGCACTGCCTCCCCAGCCTGTTGTTTTTAAGACAGGGTCTCACTGAGTCTCAAAATCACCTAGACCAGGCTCAAACTTGCAGTCTTCCTGCTTTGGCCTCCCAAAATTCTGGGATTTCAGGCGTGTAGTTCCACACTCAGGTTGAATTAGGTGATATTAAGAGTAGCAGATACCTAGGCGTGGTGTGCATGCCTGTAATCTCAGCATTTTGGAGGCGGAGGCAGGAGGCTCCATGAGTTCAAGGCCAGCCTGAACTTCAGAGTTAGACCCTGCCTGCCCCCAAAAAAGTGACATTGCATCCTCACCCACCTGATTCACTGGATGTGGCATATGTGATCTTTCCCAGTCAAAATGACCATGAAAACTCGGCATGGTGGTATCCGTCTATAATCCCAGTACTTGGGAGGCTGAGGCAGAAGGATCCCTCAGAGTTCGAAGCCAGTCAGTAGTACATAATGAGTTGAAAACCAACCTGGATATAGACCCTAAAAACTCGGGGAAAAAAAAAAAATGACCATGAGAGGTAAATATTTTGAATCCAGTCAGGACATTGAGACAACCAGCACAATACAATTAAAGACAGTCACAAAAGAGGGCTTCCAGAACTGCTTTAGAAAGTGGAAAAAGGGCTGGGGATTTCACTCAGCGGCATAAGCACGTGGCTTGCAAGCAGGTGGTCGTGAGTTTGATCCCCAGTACTGATAAAAAGGAAAAAAAAAAAAGTGGCAAAAATGCAATTATGGTGCCCTGGATTATACCAGTTCTCTGTAATGAATGTAGTCATTATGTATCGCAAATTTGTACAATAAGACAACACTACATAAAGCAATACAACAGTAAAACATACAGTAAAAATTTTGAAACAAATCCATTAAGAAAAAGGCCAGATGTGATTGCACATGTCTTTAATCCCAGGATTTGGGAGACAGGAAGACTAACTCATTCAAGGCCAGCCTAGGCTACATTTCAAGACCCTGCCTCAAAAAGCACTATAATTGGAGTTGGGGATTTAGCTCAGGGGCATAAGCGCCTGTCTTGAAAGCAGGCAGTTGTGAGTTTGATCCCTGGTACTGATTTAAAAAAAAAAAAAAAAAAAAAAAAAAAAAACTATAATCCCAGCACTTAGGAGGCCGAGGGAGGAAGATCATTGCACATTCAAGGTCAGCCTGGACCAGACTACTAATTTTTTTTCTTTTTTTTTTTTTTTTGGTACCAGGAATGGAACTCAAGACCATGTGCTTGTAAAGCAGGCCCTTATGCAGCTGAGCTAAATCCCTGATTGCAGTCTGGATTAGAAAATCAACTGAAGGCCAGCCTGAGCAGCATAGCAAGACCCTGTGTCGAAAAAGACCAAAAAAAAGTAACAATATGAGTAAATGTTTTGGTTTTTTGTTTTTGTTTTGTTGAGATGGGATCTCACTATGTAGTTCAGACTGGTGTTGAGCTTACTTTGTAGCCCAGGCTGGTTTCAAACTTGGGGCAATCCTTTTGCCTCAGCCTCCTATACGTTGGTTCATGAGCTTAATTCTTTGCATGATTATGGTCACAAATCTGATTGTACAAGAACCAAATCAAGTCCAGTGGTTAAGTTCACGTTGACCTTATGAGAAACTTGCACTTCTGGCTTGCTTTGCAGATTGATGCATCTTCTCAGGAGAGTGTTCTCGGCTTGAGCTGTGGAACCATTAATGAATGTTTGATGAGAAATGGGTTGTGCACCGGGGCCCCTGAAATCCAAAGAGCTCTGCATTCAGCAGCACATAAAATGCTGTGATTTTGTAAGTAGCACACACTTTCTTTCTGAGTTTGTAGACCTGCGGTCCAGGGGCTGGCAAGGGTGCAGGATGAGGGAAGCAAGCACTGGCTGGATCTGAACCCTAAGGAGCCGGCCCTGCTCGCCAGGCTTGCAGTGGTATCACAGAGGCTGCATTTATAAAAATAGGAAGCAGGACTGGGACTCAGCAACACAACGCTTACCTGGCAAGCATGCACACTTGAGTCCGATTCCAGTATCAATAAGTGAATGAATAAATAAATAGGGTGCTGTGGCTTACGTCCCAGAGGCTCTGCAACCCAAAGCCACAGTCTGTGTCCCCAGAGCTCGCTGTGCCACAGGATGGCAGGAGGCCTGGCGCACTAAGAAAGTGCACAGAGACCCACAAAGTAACCAAGCTGACTGCTGTAATGAATGCCCTCGACAGGGAGCCCACTCCCGAGATCAAACTCATGACCAGGAGCTTGCAAGGCAGGCACTTATGCCGCTGAGCTAAATCCCCAGCCCCGTGAACTCATTCTTAAGGGCAAAACCTTCAGAACTTAATCTTTGCCGGTGGAACCCAGGATCTGCACACTGAGCTATCTCCCCAGCACATTTTTTTAAAATGTATTTTGAAACTGGGTGTGTGCTGCCTACCAGCTCTCAACTTCCCCTCAGAAGGACACTGACAGGGTGGGAGAATAAAAGAGACAAAAGCTCAAGTCCTCTCTCCTGATGGGAGGAAAGGAGCTGCTCAACCACTGTAGCATGGCTTTTGTTTTGTCTTTTTGAAACAGGGTCTCACTATGCAGTTCAGGCTGGACTTGAACTCACTTTGTAACCCAAGCTGGCCTCGAACTTGCTATGATCCTCCTGCCTCAGCCTCCCAAATGCTGGGATTTCAGGCGTGCACCACCAGGCAGGGGTTTATAGCATATTTATTTATATATATTTATAATATTTTTATAATGGTGAGTAGCTTTCCAGGTACAAGGCATGCTTATCATTTGACAACCTGAACTGTAACAGGTCTAACAACCCTGAAAAGCCAGTATTAAATCTATCAACGTTATCTAACAGAACCACAGGCGTTGGCCCTGTAGCTGAAAGAAGCCACATGGGTGGAGCTCGTGGCTTCCCTCCCCTGCCCCTGGCTGTGAGAAGCCAGAGGTGCTTCTCCCTGTCAGTGACACTTCAACAGTCTGTAGAGGTGCAGGTAGATTTGTTCTGTTTTGTTTTGCTAGTTTTGTTCTAAACTGTTTTTGCTCCTGCTAAGTATATAAATTTATAGTTTCTTCTTCTGGAAACAAACAAGAAATTTAGCAAGCTGTATAGCCTCAATGTATTTAAAACTAAAACTGGTATAAGAAAGCAAAAACGAGCTAAATAAATGTGGGTATATTGATCATAAATTTGAAGCAAGTACCCCTGAAGTAAACAATTTTGAAAAACAAGATTTTGAGGGGCTGAGGATTTAGTTCAGCAGTGTAAGTGCCGGTCTGGCAAGCACAATGTCATGAGTTCGAACCCTGGGGTGTGTGTGTGTGTGTGTGTGTGTGTGTGTGTGTGTGTGTGTGTGAGAGAGAGAGAGAATTTATGGATCAGATATCAAGACTTACTACAAATCCATAGTGAGGGGGCTGGGGATTTAGCTCAGTGGCATAAGCACCTGCCTTGCAAGCAGGCAGTCGTGAGTTCGATCCCCGGTACCGATAAATAAAATAATCCATAGTGAAATAGTGTTATGCTGGAGCCAGCCTATTACCAGCTCATGAAAGCTAAATACTGAATTTTTAGGGTTTTTTTTATTTTTTAATTTTTAGTTTTACAGTTGGTTGTATTCATATTAGTTGTTTGAAATTGTCTCTTGTGAGAACACCCGGCAGGGCTGTTGTGGTTCACACAGCCCGGAGACTGGTTCTACAGGCTCAGTGGGGCTTGCGTCACAGCTCCTGGGAGGCAGGGCCCCAGCTGGTACCTCCACCCCAGCAGCTGCAAAACGCCCAGAACCCTGTGTTTCCCTCTCTTCTAGGCTGTGAGTGAATAACCTGAGTGATAGCTGCTGCCAGGGCAGCCCCCGCACAGAGGAGGGGCCAGTGTCTTCACGGATTGGAATCATCTCAGCCAGTGTACCCCATTTTTTGTGGGCTCTTAAAGCCTTAAACACCATTTATTTGTATTTTCAAAGGCCAACTATTGACAAATTAAAGCGCCTGCCTTGCAAGCCGGCGGTCGTCAGTACTGATAAAAATGAAAAAGACAAAAATAAATAAATAAATAAATAAATAAAATCATGCAGAGGGAAGTCCTTTGTGGTCCTCCCAACACACTCACAACCATTAATGTGCTCCCTGATGCAAGTCCAAAAAAATAAATACAGTAGTCAGAACTACAACAAGCAATCTACATGTGTGTGTGGTTCTTGAGAAGCTGTTTGCTCCTGTCTAATACCTGATAAAATCAGTACACCTCCCCCCCTTGTTTCCCCAAGTTCTCCGGCTTCTGTGTGCTTCATGAGAAGTGATAACTGATACCATCCCTCACTGCTGTTTCTCCTTACCCCGTGTGCCAGGTAGAGACTACAGGCCAAGCACCCAGCAGGCCAGGGCAGTCCTGGAGCACACTTCCTGAGGCACTGGGCAACAAAGCCCATGGCTGGGGAACCCACCTGGCCTGGACCTGCTTTCCTCCTGGAGCCCTCTGCAGCAACGTCAGCCCAGGGCTGGGACACCCATTTCTAGACACAACTGAAAAAGGTAGCTGGGTGACAGCTTTCACCCAGTCCTACCCCACAGGCACCTAGGGGACTTTGGAGCCAGCCCTAGTCACAGGCAAGGGGCCCAGTGGTGCCCAGCTGAGCCCCGTACCAGCCCACCCCGGGAGGACCTTCCTCACACCAGCCCTGGTCTCACTGGCTCTTGGGTGCCTGTGCTCTGAAATCAGGAACCTGGGCAGGGCCCAGCCAGGACACCAGAACGGGTCCTGGGCCCCGATACACTGCTTCATGCATAGGCTTGGTTTGGTTGCGAGGAGCTCAGTGCAGGCCAAGGTATAGCTAGGGTCTACGGCACTGTCTACCATGCACATGACCCTGTGTATGACCGCAGCGCCTCTCCCTAAGCTCTGTACCTATAAGACTTCTTGGTTTGCAGTTTTTCAGCATGTGATTGTCATTTGTGGTACTGAAGCATGAACCCAGGACCTAGTGCACAGGAGCCAAGCACTGTGTTCTGTTTTTTGAGACAAGGTCTTGCTATGCAGTTCAGGCTGGCTTTGTACTCACTACATAGCCCAGGGTGACCAAATGATGATCTGCCTCAGCCTTCCAAGTGCTGGGATTATAGGTGTGAGCCTCCACATACTCTGCAAGGAAACTGTGCCTGCTGGCTTCCCTGGCCTTTATCAGGTTTTTGGGGAGGGGCAGGGCCTAGCTGCGCAGTTCAGGGGAACTCATGTGGATCCTTTTGCCTCAGCTTCCTGAGAGTGCTGGGATTACAGGCATGCTGCCACCACACCTGTTGGGTTTGGTTTTGTGGAGGTTTTTGTCAAGGTTAAACTGGGCTCCTAGCAGGAAATGAGCTTCTTCTCCGGTTTTTGTTTTGTTTGTTATGAAAAATCAAATGCAAGACCTCAGGCTTGCCAGGCAGGCCCTGTCACAGAGCTAAATCCCCAGCCCTCTCCCCCTCTGCCTCTCCTCCCCTACCTTCCTTCTCCCCCTTCCCTCCCCTCCTTTCCCTCTCCCTCCCGCCCCTCCGTTTTGTTTTGAGATTGGCTCCCTGTTTTTATTGAATATTTGGTAACACTGACCGGTGCAGGCACCCGGTCGGACCTTTGCTCTAAGTGAGGGGTTGGTTCTCTGCCCGCTCCTTTCCAAGTCTCACCGTTGAGGCAAACGTCCTTGAGTCTGCACAGGAACACGGTGACCACGCACTGGTCCTCAGCAACTGCAGCGAGTGAGCCTGCACTCCGGTGCACCTGGACTCCGGTGGAGCTAGAGCCAGCGCCCTGGTTCGTGCAGCTCCACAGCCCCGCGGGCGGAAGCGGCCCTCGGGGGGCCGCATTCAGGAGGAGAGGGTCTGGAGCCTTGGCTGTCAGATGGGTCCACTGGTGGAAACGGGTAATTGCGGCAATGCGCATGCTGCGAACGCAGGCCTGGTGGCGGAACTTTGGCACGCACGTCTGATCCCAGCACCTGGGAGGCCAAGGCAGGAGCATGCACGGCAAGTTCAAGGCCAACCTGGATTACACAGTGAGACTTTGTCTCAAAACGAAACAAAACAAGTAAAAAACAAGCTGTGCTGGCGCTGGGCTCTGGTGTGGGGTACCCCGACCCGCGAGGTGACCGTAGGGGGTTCAGCTCCCCAACAGCAAGCAGCAGAGACCCGGAGGGCCCGGGCTTCCTCGGCAACTGCAAGTCTGTTAAAGGAGAGCAGGAAAGCAGAAACTGACCGGCAGAACCTGGAGGAAGCAGCCTGGCCCGCTGAGGAGCGAGCTTGGCCGGTCCACGCGGCAGCAGAAATTGGGGCCCGGGCAGAGCACGCCGGCAAATGGGAAATAACCTCCCTGCTTCTCCCCAGCAACGCTGCGCGCGCTCCCCCATTCCGGCTGCCTCCGGCCCTCGCGCACACAGCTGTTAAAGACTTTTTGAGGCAAGGTCTGTGGGGCTGAGGCCGGCCTCGAACTCAAGAGAGTTTCTTGCCTCAGCCTCTAGAGTGCTGGCATCTTTTTTATTTTATTTTACTTTATCGGAACCAGAAGGGGCTTGCAGGCCTCGCCGAGCCGGACCGCGGAGGTCCGCAGCATAGCGTGCGCTTTCGGACCCTCGGGGCTGAGCGGCGGCGGGCTTGGGTTCGGGTTCCGGGCGGCCTGCGCAGAACCTCTCCGACAGCCCCGAGTCCGCTGTGCGGCCCTGCCGGCCGGGGGAAGGTAGGAGTCTGCAGGGGCAGCGCTGGGCCTGGCCAGCAGGGGGCGCCAGGGCCCGCGCCTGCAGGGCAGAGGCTGCGCCTCGCCTCACCTGTCCCTCCAGCCGCCGGGCACCCCAGCAGCTTCAGCCTCCCAAGTGCCGATGCGCCACCGCACCCGGTTTAAGTACAATTTTTTTTTTGTCTTTTTCGTTTTTACCGGTACCGGGGATCAGACTCACGACTGCCTGCTTGCAAGGCAGGCGCTTATGCCACTGAGCTAAATCCCCAGCCCCGTACAATTTTTATGTTTTTATGTATAAATTACATTTTTAAAATTAAAAATGAAGATTAAGGGCTGGAGATGTGGCTGAGTGGCAGAACTCTTGTTTTGCATGCCCAAGGCCCTGAGTTCCATCCCCAGCACCACAAAATACTATGTTCTGAGTACAGGCACCAACTCCCCGCAAAGAAGGTAAATGTGTACACACATGTGCTGCGCTAACACAATAGAAGCTTTTTTGTTATAATTGTTTTTCAGACAGGGTCTTGCTGTGTAGTTCAGGCAGAACTCAAACTAGAAGCAATCCTGTCTCAGCCTCCAGAGTATTAAAATTACAGTTGTGCCCCACCAAGTGTGACTGCAAGGTGCCATTTTAACCGCAAGCCTTGGATTTGATGTGGGAATTTTGCATTAAACCAAGGCTTGAACCCGAGCTGTATCCCTGGCCTTTTTTTTATCCTTTCTGCTGAGACAGGATAAGCTAAGCTGTGACATTGCCCAGAAGGGGCTCAGCCCACCCCCCTATACTGGAGGTGCAGGCGCATAGCCCAGGTAAAGCCCAGGTAAAGCCCAGGCCTGCCTGCTGGCTCTGGCTTCACACCCCCACCCCCGTGGGCCTTCTGATGCTGCCTGCAGCCCTAAGTGCCTTGGCCCAAGTCCCCCCAGAAGCAAAGCGTGAGCCTGGTGCTGCTGCTGGCACTGGCCACATGGGTCCAGGAACAAGCAAGAGTTGGTGGAGTGCCCACGTTGGAGTCCGAGCTGGGGAGTAGGTGGTCAGGTCTGTTCTGAGTGGCACTAGGTCTCCTTCTCCCAGGCTGCTCCCCTGGGTTGAGCGAGTTCCGAGAGGCTGAGCAGGAAGCTGCAAAGTGGACAGCCACAGCGAGAGAGCAGAGCCATCCACCTGAAATCCCTGACAGTCGTTCTGCCAAATGCAGCCTGCAGCCCTGAAAATGCTTAAAATATGAAACATGTCACCTGATGAGAGATTTGGAAACATCATGCAGGAGAGGAGGACACAGTGGGCTGGGCTGATTGGGCTTGAGAAGAAGGCGTGCATTCAAAGTGACGGGAGCTGGGCATGGCAGTGCACGTCTGGGAGGCTGAGGCAGGAGGATTACATTTGAGCTCACCCCCGGCAACCTAGCTACTCGGTGAGAGAATTTGTCAAAAAATAAAATAACATATAGAAAATCTTTTTAAGAAGTGTTAAATAAGAAAACTAAAGTCATTGGGGGAACATCTCACCAACAGGGTAGATTTAAACGTCTTGGAGCTGAGTAAAATCAGCAAGACACTGAGAAGGTGCAGCTGTGTGCAGACAGAGATCAGAAGCATTTGGGGCCAGGGGTGAATGAAGCTCAAGGCCTTAAGAGGCCCTTGGTTCAGTTCTTAGCACCCTAAAATAGCCAAGAAAAGAAAAAAAGCAGGTGGTAAGACCATGTTCTGAGAGGAGGAGCAGGAAAGTTCAGGAGAGGACAGAGGAGGGGCTCATGGGCTAGGGTGGGGAAGAAGAGGGGGAATTCTGAAGCGGGAGGTTTGAGGTCATCCAAGGAGGGGAGAAGTTGGAGACAGTGGGCCTAAGCACTTTGGGGGGATTAGTCCCAAAGGGGCGCAAAAAAATGAGGCGGTAGCTAGGAAGGAGGGGGAACAGCACAGGGGCTTTTCCTCCAGGATGGAGGCCTACTGGGTGCAGGGTCAGGTTCTGTGGACAGGAAAGGAGCAGGCACGTCACTGGGTCTCGCAGTAATCCTGACTAGGAAGAGTTGAAAAGCAACCTTTACTAGGAACGCTCCCCTGGGAAATAGATCAGGATGCAGTAGAGAGAGACAAAAACCAGGTAAAGAAGGACACCAAGTGGGCTGGGGACTTGCACCAGACCAGAAAAAGAGCTGACAGGCAGACACGGGGAGAAAGCTAAGGGCACAGGCCACTGACCAGCGCCCTCCCTCCAATGGAACACGGTTGCCAAGGGGTGGGCGGGCTATAAGGTGGTTCCTGTTCACACACAAGTGTGCTAGGCAGGGAGGGAGGGAGTTACGTAACCATAGGTACATAGGTGATAGATGCTGATAGATGGTAGATGATAGGTAGATGGATGATAGAGGACAGATCACTAGATGATAGATGATAGAGACTGCCAAAAATGTATACAGGAAAAGAAAAGCCTGCATAAATATTTTAATACTAAATTTGTTGAGACTTCATGAGGTTACTGCAAGTCACCCTGGGTCTCTACAGTGACAGAAGACGCTCACAGTGTCCCCTCAGCCTCCAGCCTTCACTAATGCGGCAGGTTGCCACCAGGGATATACCTGTGTCTAGCAGACACCTTCTCTATGGATTGACTCTAGCATGGATATATTATTCACTCTAGGGTCATTATAGAGCACAACAGGTAGCACACCCCCTTCTTACTAAGCTAACCAAGAATAAGCCAACTCACTGCCCATCCCAAAGATTCAGCCCTGAAAAGCAGGTCAAGGGCAAGCACAGGAACAACACAGAAAGGAGCTGCACGTTGACCACGGAGAGAAATGATGTTAGAGGTGCCCGGAAGTGAGGCTGAGTTCAAAGTGGGAGGGAGGGTCTCAGGCTCCCCAGAGAAACAGCTGAAGGCAAGACCCTGACCCTATCCTTCCTGCACCCTGATTCTTTCTAATCAGGTATCCGTCTGTCTTCTTCCTCCTTCCTCTTCCTCTTTGCAGGTAAAGAGATTTCCTTTTGGTAAACTTTGTCCTAATATTTTATTGTGTCTTGAGTTCCCCATCCCGGTGGGCTGCTCCCTGCTCCAACAGCAAGGTCTCAGTGCCATCCCCTGACACATCAGGATCTGTGTCGTCCTCTGTCCTCTCTCCTGCTGTGAGTCAACCTTTGTGACCCTGCTCCTTCATTAAAATAAAAGACTGTATTTTTGGGAAGCTGCGTTCCCCATAGGGTCTTGGGCTGTAGGAGGGCAAGCCACAGTCTTTCCATCCTCCCGAGCAGAAAGGTCAGCGTCAGAGACCTGAGACCGTACTCTCGTTCACTGCAGCTCTGCTCCCCCTCACAGCCAGTTCTGTAGGGCTGTGGGTGTCCTCCTTGCTGATCTCCTCTGGGGATAGTGACTCCTCTGTACTCTAGGATTGCTACTCCTTTTCAAGCAGTGTGGCCAGGGGCTGGGGGTTTAGCTCAGTGGCATAAGCACCTGCCGTGCAAGCAGGCGGTCGTGAGTCTGATTCCCGGTGAAAAAGACAAAAAAAAAAAAAAAAAAAGAAAAATCAAGCAGTGTGGCCAAAGCAATATCCTCCAAACTTCAGGCATTTTTACATAAACTTCATGGTATTTTATTGACTACAGCACATTTTTATTCTTTATGTAAAGCATCTTCCTTTTCTCCCCTCTTATCACCCAATTACTGGGGATTGAACCCAAGATTTCACTGAGCTACAACCCCAGTCCACCCCCGACTCTTGTTTTGTTTTGTTTTTTTTGAGGCAAGGTCTCACTGTGTAGTCCAGGCTGGCCTCAAACTCGAGGCAGTCCTCTTGGCCTCAGACCCCTGCACCACCACACCCCCCCCACACCACCACTACTTTATTTTTTATTTTGCAATAGGCCTTGCTACATGGCTAAATTGCTGGGTTCACACTTTCCATCCCCCTGTCTGAAATACACCCAGGATTCAGTGGATCAGTGTAGATAACAAAGCACTCAGACACCAGGTCTTCTGGAGAAGCAAGGTTTAGTGCTGCAGAAGAACAGGAGTACACCCAGTCCAGAGGCAGCTGGGCAGAAAGACTGAAGCAGGCTCTTTATACTTCTAACCCCCCCAGATATTCTCCCCATTGGCTGGGTTGAAGGTTCAGACTCTATCCTGATTGGCTAATGTCAGCACGAAGGGCGGGCTTGAATGCATGGGGGGGGCGGTCAATAAGGGGAAGGAGGAGGGGACAGAAAGTTCCTGGCTGTTGATAAATTCCCTTTGGCTGTCAGCCGCATTCCCCCCGAATCCAAAGTGAACAAACCTTTTCTCTAACTCGGTAGGCTCAACATAAAATTGGGTGAGGGGTGCCTAGAGTAACCTAGAGTTTTAGATGGAGACACTCTTGTTCATATTTTGACAGAAAAGAGCTTCTTAACCCTCCTGTCTCAGCCTCCGGAGTGATTCAGTTACAGGCATGCACTTGCTTGTTTTCAAGGGAAGTTTTATTTCACAACTATCAAATATTTTAAGTACTTAATCCACCTTAACAGAAATACGAATTATTAAAATACAAAGAGCACTGTTCGAAAAGAATTGTGTCTGACTGTCGATGTCCGCTCCCGGCCGGCAGGAAGGACACACGACAAAGTCTGGCAGTGGACAACCTTTTCTTTTATTTTTCTTCTCCGTACAGCCTGCCCTGGGATCGCTCCCAGCCGAAGCCTCCTCTGGTCCGCTCCCCGCGGCTCCTTCTGGGCTTCTACTTCCGGGCTTCTTCTTCCCCCCCAGGGGTGGCACCAGTATATATACGGATACAGTGTCCAATCATGTTAAAGTAAGCAAGGCAAGCTGATTGGCTAACATCATCAGTTGCCAGGCAGACTATATTGTTGAGCGGGTTGCTTACGCGGTAAGCAGGAAACTAACGTGCTCGATGGGAGGGGTAATCTACCTCAGGCTTTACTCTTTACTACAGGCCTCACGTCCGCCAAGTGAGGCGACCGGGCTCGAGGCTGCGGCTCCCAACATCTCCCCCTTTCTTATTTTTTTTTTATAAATGTGCGCATCGTAGCCCTTCCTGGACTGGGTGCAGAGGCTTATGCCCTATGCGTAGGCCCACCGTAGGTCCTTGGCTTAGACCCTGGTCGGCCGTCCCATGGTCTGCCAAGGCCCTGAGGCCCTCGTCCTTTTTCTAGGGCCAGGCACAAACTGGACGGAACCTGGATGCACACAAGCTTGCACTCATTTCCTCTCCGTAAAGAAATCCCCTCGGAGAGAAATTTAGACCTGGGCAGCGTCTAACAGTCCAGCGGCTTACGTGCAGGATGGGGTAGGGCCTGGCTTAGGTTGAGTCGCACCGGGGGAGTACGCTCTTACCCGTCATTGACTCTCCTACCCAGCTATGTCATAATTTTTTAGAGGAGGAGTGTGGGAAGCTCACCGTCCCTAGACTCGGTCGTAGGCTAGGCGAGCGAGCCATGCATATGCCTGAGGATCTTCTTGTCTATTTTGGGCTATCGCTATTTCTATTCATCTTGTTGGTTGGTCTGTGATGGATCTCCGGTAGGGCAGGTCTGATCTTCAGTCGAGGGCTTTGTCGCCTGTGTCAGTCTCTCCGGTACCCACAGTGGTTCTCGTCCCGATTCCTGTGGGAAAACACAAACCGCGCCTCGGTTCCAGCTGACCACTGGATCCGGGCCCATCCATTGTCCTGTCAGGACATCTTTCCACTTCACCCACCCTTTATGGTTGGGGGAAGGGTTGCAGTGCTCCACGGCTGGGGAGCAATTATCATTATTTAAATTTAAAAAATTGTGTGTGAATAGTGCCATGGATAATCGTGCCTTTGGGGCCAGGCCTTGGCCTACTCCCCCTTTTTGTTTTTGTAAAATTTCTTTGAGGCTTCTATGAGCCCTCTCAATGATTCCTTGACCTTGGGGATTGTATGGGATACCATGTTTTAATTGAACCTCCATCATTTTGCAGAACTCATTGAAGGCTTTGCCTATATAGGCTGGTCCATTATCAGTTTTTAATATTTTTGGTTTGCCCCATGCGGCCCAAGCCGCCAGGCAATGATTGATCACATTAGACACTTTTTCACCTGTTTCTGCTGTTGCGAATATGACATGAGAACAGGTGTCTGTGGAAACATGAACATATTTAAGAGTCCCAAACTCCTGTATATGTGTGATGTCCATCTGCCAAACATCACCAGGGATCAAACCTCGAGGGTTTACTCCCATCGGTATGGCAGGTTTGTATGTGGCACAGGAGTCACATAGTCGCACGATATCTCGTGCATCTGCTCTGGAAACATGGAAATGGTTTGCTAGTGTCCTGGCATTGACATGAAACTTATCATGGAAGGCACGGGCTCGCTCGATTGGTGTTAGTAAGGTAAAAATCCATAACGGGCGAGTGGCAGTATCAGCAGCCGCATTCCCCTGTGCCATGGGCCCTGGCAGGGATGTATGTGCTCTTATGTGGGTGGTGAAGACCTTATGGTGTCTGTTCTGAAGCAATGTCTGGATAGACAGGAACAGCCCAGCCACTGTGGAAGTGGATCTAATTAAACCGGCAGTCTCAAGCACTTGCATAGCATTGACCATATACCTAGAATCGGAGACAATATTAATGGCTTCTGAGAACCGTTCAAGAATCATTTTAACGATCTGCAGTTCCACCACCTGAGGCTGATCAGGTTCAAATTGTATGGTAACCGGGGGCTTGCCTAGGATCACATAGGCGCCTATCCCCGTCTTGGAGCCATCTGTGTATATTGTAGTTGCTGGGACTAATGGCTCAGAGGCAGTAACCTTTGGAAAAATTATAGGGTGCTGAGTGACAAATGACAAGATAGGGTCTTTAGGGTATTGATTGTTTATATCCCCATGGAAAACACATCTCAGAATGGCCCAAGTATCTATGCAGGCAGCCAGGGTCTTGATCTGGCTGGCGGTATAGGGTACTCGGATGGCTTGTAGTCCTGAGCCAAAATGTTGGACAGCTCTATCATGCGCTTCAAGGGCCAATGAAGCGACTGCCTCCGGGTAATGCTCTATGACTTTTGTAGGTGAGACCTTAGGGTGTATCCACAGTAATGGTACTTTCTGCCAAATCACCGCTGTGGGCTGTAGACTAGTCTGTAGCAAACAGACATCAAAGGGTCGCCCTGGTTCAATTCTGTGTAAGGTAGCCCCACCTAAGGCTTTTTCCACTCTCTGTAAGGCAGCTCTTGCCTCAGGAGTGAGCCTCCTGTGGGAGGCTATATCTGGGTCTCCCTTCAGAAGGTCGAACAGGGGTTTGAGATCTGAATTTGGTATATGTAAATATGGCCTAATCCAATTAATGTCTCCCAATAGTTTTTGCATGTCATTTAGGGTCCTAACGCCATCCGTCCTAATGGTGACCTTCTGTATAAGTCTGGAGGCGACACTGAGGTCCACACCTGCTGACCCAGGGGTGGCCCTTGTTGAAGGCTGCCATCCTGAGCTGTCCTGTCTCTGGGGCGGGGGCCCGCCTGTGAAGGGGGCCCCCTCTGGCCGTTTTTTGGCCCTCTAGCATCTCGTCCACAAATACGGTTGCCCTGAGCGTCAAAGACCGACCTACACTCCTCAGCTTTGTGTGATCCCCTCTTGCATCGCCCACAAACATATGGTTCTTCATTCCTAGGGCGAGGCCTAGCATCTGCATTGTTTGGGCAATGACGTTTAATGTGTCCTGGCTCCCCGCAGGCAAAACACCCTTTAGCCTTACATTCCCCTTCTAACCCTCGAGGTCCCCTCTGCTGTACAGCCGCGGCCAGAAGAGCAGCCACTCCCGAGTTGGAGAGCGGCCCCCCTATCTCTCTGCATATCCTAATCCAGGCGTTGAGGTCCTTGTTCTTATGAGGAGCTATCGCTGCCTTGCACTCCTTTGTACATTGCTCAAAAATCAGCTGCCTTACCAGCGGTCGAGCCACTCCCGGATCAGAAAATATCTTATCGGCAGCATCTTGCATTCGGGCCACAAAGTCAACAAATGGCTCTGTGGTACCCTGAATTATTTTTGAAAGACACAAGGAGGCTGTTCCGGCACCACTTACCTGCTTCCAGGCGCGGAGCCCTATGGCATTGATTTGTTCATAGACAGCGCCGGGGAACTGAGTCTGATCATCAGCGTGCCGACCTTCTCCCATAAGCATTTCCTTGTTCCACCCCCGGTTTCCCCGATTGGCGTTTCTCTCAGCCTGCTCTGCAGAGAACTCTGTGTACCAGGCTCGCCAATCCAGGTAACTACCCGAGGGCAGACACGCCTTTGCCAGCTGAATCCAGTCCGCGGGGGTGAGGGGCCCAGAAGACAGATTCTCCAGCATGGCAATGGTGTAAGGCGCAGTCGGCCCAAAGGTTGTAACTGCATTTTTAAGTTCTCTAATCTGCTTTATCTCAAAAGGCTCCCATGCATTGCGTCCCTGGCCCATAGCTACTTGTACAGGAAATATCCCGTAGGGGCCACTATCTATCCCAGGTGGATGTACCTCATGAGACAAGCGTCCCCCCTGCCAAAGCCGCCTGTAAAAATACCGACCCGCCGGCGGCGGAGCATAAGACGGCGGCCGTGATTGGGCGGAAAATGGGGGCCCGTGCATCACTTCCTGTTCTGGCGAAAGGGGAGGGAGCTCCCAGGCGGCCGCCTCGTGGCGAGGGATCGCCTCCCTCTCGCACCGGGGAGCGCTCAGGAGCTCTCTACTCCTCCGCAGACCAGGTTGAGCAGAGCGCAATTCGCGGCGCAACGCTGGAAAAGAACCCTGTGACTCCTTATCGAGCGACTTGGGCTCCTGACAGCTGGTCTCTTTGGCCTCCTTGCCATTCAACTTTCCCTCGTCCTCGGAGTCAGACGACTCCGAGGCTAGAGCCCCGTCCTTCTCCTTAGCATCTTTGTTCCCCTTGACGGGCCCCTCTCGGGAGCTCCCTGACTGGGCCTGCTCAAATACCCTGCGTACTTTTGTAAGCTCTTGAGAGCTTTCTCCACAACCACCCTCGCTCTTAGTGTTGCTACCTAGCATGTTTCCCATCTTTTAATATGTTACTCACCGCGTGAGGCCCAAGGAATCCGCCACTTACGCGTGAGCCTGAGGGGAGTCTAAAAGCCCTGTAGGTGCGCGCCACCCAGAGCCCAGGCTTATCCCCAACTCACCTGTCTCGCAGCTCTGTACTGGAGCGTTGTCCGCTGTCACGTCTCGGGGGTGATCAGTCCCCGGGCGGGCCTCCAAATGTCGATGTCCGCTCCCGGCCGGCAGGAAGGACACACGACAAAGTCTGGCAGTGGACAACCTTTTCTTTTATTTTCCTTCTCCGTACAGCCTGCCCTGGGATCGCTCCCAGCCGAAGCCTCCTCTGGTCCGCTCCCCGCAGCTCCTTCTGGGCTTCTACTTCCGGGCTTCTTCTTCCCCCCCAGGGGTGGCACCAGTATATATACGGATACAATCATGTTAAAGTAAGCAAGGCAAGCTGATTGGCTAACATCATCAGTTGCCAGGCAGACTATATTGTTGAGCGGGTTGCTTACGCGGTAAGCAGGAAACTAACGTGCTCGATGGGAGGGGTAATCTACCTCAGGCTTTACTCTTTACTACAGGCCTCACGTCCGCCAAGTGAGGCGACCGGGCTCGGGGCTGCGGCTCCCAACATCTGACATTTTGTTGTGTTGATTTAATTAACACACTTTGTCATTTGGGCTTGACAGAGTGGTTTAGGAATCCCTAGTTTCCTCCCAAAGCGAGTCACCCTGGAGAACGCCACGTCCTTCACAGCCTTCATGCAACCCTCAGGAAATGGGGCAGACCCAGAGGAGCTCATGATACCACTCTGGCTGCCCAAGCTGCCGAGCCGCAGCCCAGGGGAAAAGTGGCTGGTTATGGGAGACTTCCCGCCTTCTTTCCCCTTCAGCCGGGAGTCTTGCATTTTGTGTTTTCTGGCGCTAGGGATTGAACCAAGGATCTTGCTCATGTAACCGAGGGCTCTACCACTAAGGTACATCCCTATGACCGTCTTCCTTAAAATAACTATAGGGGGAGGTGTCTTGACAGCTTAAAATTCAAGCTGGCCTAGAGGTAGTGGGGATTCTCCTGCCTCAGCCTACCAGAGTGCTGGGATTTCAGGTGTCCACACCACGTGACTCAACCACTAACCTGTCCAGGGTGATAGGAACTTGTGATCCCCCTTGCCTCAGCCTCCCGGACTGCTGAGATTAGAGGCGTGTGCCACCTCGCCTAGTGAGGACCCCAAGATTTCGAAAAGGCTTCAGTCAGCTTGGCTCTAATTCTCCGGAGCCTGTAGGCCCAGACAACCAAGCGGGAAAGTCTCCAGCCGGGTCCTGCCCACCTCACTCCCTAGCGCCCCTGACCTTCCCTCCTCCGTTCCGGAGCACTCTTGACTTCGCCCTGGCTTGGCCAGGAATGCCACGCCTACCCTCCGCCCAGGCCCTGGGCGGGCCTGGAGAACTTGACCCCGGTGGGGACCGGTCTGGGGTCCCCACCAGCCTATGGGGAATGGAAGAGGGCGATGTACGCGTGCGCGTGCGCGGCAGGGCTTTATTGCGTTACCTCGAGCCCAGCGCACGCGACTCGCATTGGAGGCCGCGCGCGCCTTCGCACATGCGCACTTTTCTTCGCCAGGCGCGCGCCGCAGGCTCTAGCTGCTTCTCAAGCAGGTGGGCGCGCGCCGTGGTCTCGACCAGCATGTCCATAAGCAGTTCCTGCTGCAGCTTCAGGTAGTTGTTCTCCTCCTGAAGTGCTTGACTCTGGACCCGCGGGCCCCGTGTCCTCCGTGCCGGGCTGGTTGGCGGAGACAGCCGTGCCCGCGCCTGCAGGCCCTCCGCCGTCCACTGGCCGCTTTGAAACACCAAAGCCGCCTCGCCGAGGCGCATGCGCGGCGCGCCGTAGTCCAGGCCCAGCTCGGCCTGGCGCGTTCGGTGGTCCAGCAGGTAGAAGGTGGACATGGAGGAGAAGCGGCGCAAAGGCGGCCGCCGGGGCGAGAAGCGCCGCGAGAAGTGATCGGCGCAGAGCTGCCGCAGCTGCGCCCACAGACGGCCGGCGGGGCCCAGAGCCAGGCAAGCGCAGGTCTCCAGGTTGCGGGACCCAGGGCTCCTGAGTGACCAGGGCGAGCCAGGGGCGCTGCGGAAGAGGAAATGCAATGAGCACCTTTCGGCTTGGGCCTACGGACTGACCTGTTGCGCGCACAGTCGCACCCGCCCGCCTTACTGAAATCTCTCTCTTCTTCCCCTTCCCCAGTATGGTGAGACTTGAACCTGCGATCCTCCAGCCTCAGCCTCCCTGGCTGGTGTCTCCCGCAGCACCCTGGCTTCAAGGACTACCATTTTCATGTTAGGCCCAAATACGTAGGTGAAAGAGGAGCTTATCTGCTGAGCTGCCACTGGCAGGTGAAGGAGGGAGAAATGTTAGCAAAACAAATAGGAGAGAAACCTTTTTTTCCTAGGCATGACAGGCTTGGGAAACAAAATTACTATCAGTCTCCAGGAAAGAGAGTGAGCTTGTTTAAACAAAATTAGCTGCCTGTAAATGCCCTGTGCAGGTAATTAAGGAGAAAGAATTGTGTGGAAAATTATGCCACTTAATCTCTTCCCCAGGACACAGGCACCTCCTAGAAATTCTCTCAGAAAAGTGGAGCTGCAAGTGTGAAACCGTCGCCCAGACTCAGCAGCTGTCCTTCCCGAACAGCTGGCAGCAAGCAGGAGTGTGTGTGAGAGTGTGTGTGTGGGGGGGGGGGAGGCTGCAGGCGGAGTCTGGGCAGTGGAGGCGGAGCTCAGCGAGGACCTCTTTTTCCCGACGTGGGGAGGAGCTTGGGGTAGGGCTGGTCTGAGAAATGGAAGAGGCAATGGAAAGATGGGCCAGAGCCCCCGAGGTGCTCTGTGAGGCCCCGCAGTTTGGGTTTCATTCTGTGGGTGAAGTCAGTTAGGTGCGGATTCCGCGGAGTGTCCCGAGGCGTGTCTAGCATAACCAGCACTTCTGGCTGCTTTCATCGTTTAGTTAGGAGCCTTCAGGTTGCACCTGCTTCTTGCCAAGCCCTGGTCCTGGCAGGCTTCCCAGGCCAGCCTGTGGCTGCCCTCGGGATACTCCAGGCCCCGATGGAAGACAGGTGTGTGCCTAGTTCATAGTCTAGTGTGCTCAGGGACATCTGAGGTAAGGCCTTTGGCCTGGACCAACACTTAAGGTTCAAGTACTAGAGCTGCACAAGCTAGACAGGACTTTCCTCCGAAGCAAACTATCCCTCCAGGAACTAAAGTCCATGGGATAAACACGCACCCCATTCTCCCTGTCTTCCTTGGTAAGTGTGAGGAAAGACTGTTTTTTTCAGTTCTTCTGCCCCTGCAAGGAAGAGAGAAAAAACTGGGGCAGGGTTTCCTGTGTCATCCTTCCGTAATGCAACACAAGTCTTTCCTCATGTAGCTCTGCGGAGAGGCCAGCTGGTACCTCCCCTAGACCACCGCCAGAAGCCCATATCTAGGCCCGTTCTCGAGGCTGTGACTCACCAGGGGACTCTTGCCTGGTAACCTTTGAGGTGTGTTTTGCCTTACCTGGAAGATGTGGTCAAGTTGCCACCCTGCTGTCCTAGACCCAGCCCTATCTCTGAATCCCTCACCTCTTGTCTACCAGCTATGACTCACAATGCCTCTAGGCCAGGCCAATCCCAGGGCAGAAGGTGCTGACCATGAGCTGTAAGGCGGAGAGGGGAGCCAAGTGTGGTGGTGCATACCTATCAACTCAGTACTCCGGAGGCTGAGGCAGGAGGACCACCATGAGTTTGAGGCTATCCTAGGCTACATACTGAGTTTGAGGCTGAACTACAGAGCAAGACCCTGCCTCAAAAACTAAAACAAAAACAGACCCTGGGATTTCTCCTGGTCACTTTTGTATTTTCCAGTATTGGGGACTGAACCCAGGGCCTTTGCACTGAGTTCTGCAGTCCTTTTTGTGCTTTTTACGTCTAGAGAGTGTTTCACTGAGTCATTATGTTGCTTAGGCTGGACTTGAATTTAACATTCCCTGCCTTAGCCGGCTGTGGTGGCTCAGGCCTGTAATCCCAGCACTCAGGAGGCTGAGGCAGGAAGATTGTCGAGAGTTCGAGACCAGCCTGGGCTACAAAGTGAGCTCAAGGCCAGCCTGAACTGCATAGTGAACCCTGTCTCAAAAAGACAAAAAAAAAAAAAAAAAAAAAAAAATCCCTGCACCTCAGCCTCCTAAACAGCTGAAATTACAGGCTTGTGCCACTGTCCTGGCCCATTCAATGAATTTGTTGAGCACTTATCTTGTTCTAGACCCTGTTCTAGGGAAGTGGAGATGTGCTCTCCTCAACTATTGTTTATGGCAAGGAAATGGAGTAGAACTGGGTCATACATTGAGCCCAAGCATTTGTTCTAGGGCAGCAGTGGCAAACCTGTGGCACCCATACTGCAGCGGCACCCAGAACCCCCTCTCACTTTGCACAAGCCAAGTCTGCCATCATCACCTCAGCAGCCAAGCGTCAGGCTTAATTGAAGTGTTGGCACTTTGTGGTAAATAAGTGGGCTGTAGGCTACAGTTTGGGCATTGGTTCGCCATCCCTGTTCTAGGAGGTTGCTGAGGTTCAGATTTATCTGCCAGGGTCTCATGTGTTGGCAGTTTGGATTCCAAGTGTGGTAGTGTGAGTTGTGGCAGAGCCATCTTGCCTGTCTGTCTGTCCATCTTGCTCTCCACCCCTCCCCTCCCCTTTCCTTTCCTATTTTATTTTCTTCTTTGGTGTTGGGTCTTGTCACTGCTGGGCAAATACTCCACCACTGAACTACATTCTCAGCCCCTAGTGGAACTTCCCAGGCCAAACGGAAGGCGCTGAGGTCCTGGGGGCGCCTGGGGAGGGATCAGGCTTGGGACTAGTTCTGGAAAGTGGGCCATCACTGGAGAGCCTGCTGCCTCCCTTCTCTGGCTTCCTGTTTTGTTGTGCAGTCTCCTTTCACATGCACTTCATGAGGAGATGCAGTGGGCAGAGAGACCTCCGTAGAGCCAGCATCTTAGATTTTCAAAACGGCAAGCTCAATAAACCCTCTCAAGTTCCCAACCTCAGGCACTTTGTTGTAACAGTGGGAAACAAGGAAGTAACAAGGCCCGTCCTTCATGAAGTGGACATAGGGGTCACAGTTGATTCCCCAGAAGTAGACCCTGAGGTGAGGATTCTTGTGCAAGTGACATATGGGCAGGTGCTTTCTGGAGGAGGAGGGAGGAAAGCAGGCCAGGGTAGTGCAGTGCAGCACAGGAGACTGAAGCCAAAGCATGCGTATGTGCCAGGTGGACATGAGCTCCAGTCCAGCCCTGTGGGGCGCTCTGCGCACACACTGCATCGTAGTTTGGCCTCTTAGGGCAGGGGGCCTCCTGTGTGCCCCCCACATTCCAGTCGCCACAGGGCAGTGGTGAGTCACCGGCACACTTGGGCACCTAGGATGGGTGCATCACCAGTGATCCCAGCAGGGAGAAACAGGGCACCAGCAGCAAGGTGCAGGGAGAACAGGCAGCAGAAATGAAAGGGTCTCAGTTTTGGGTTTTTTTTTTTCTTTTAAGACAAGGTGTCACTGTGTGGCCCAGTCTGGCCCCAGACTTGCAGTAATCCTGCTTCAGCCTCCTAGATGCTGAGATTATGGCCACATGCCACCGTAGCAAGCAAAGAAAGGGCTTAGCAAATGGACGAGAGTTTCTGGTCGTGGTACATGTAGTGAAGAAAAGATGGGTAAATACAGAAAATAACTTTGGGACAGGATGTGGCGGGCGCTAATTTAGACACACTGTTTGCATTGCTGCTAAGACTTGAATGATTGGAACCGTGGGGAGACCCAGCCCACTGAGATCTGGGGCAGGGCTCCAGGCTGGGACCATAAAGACAAGTGCCATGTTTGGGACAGCAGAAGTGGAAGGAAGTGAAGTCTTCCTTACTGTCAGGCCTTCCTGGTTTCTCACATTACTGGGCTTGGCATTCCCGACCTCAGGGGCCTTCTGTGGGCCTTTCAGGGATTCTGCTTTCATGCACGGCCTGGGGATGAGGTCAGACCAGATTAGGGGGCCTGAGGGCTGGCAGGGCCCATGGTAGTGCCGCCTTTTGAGCGAGATTCCTTAGTTCTGTTCATGGGTGACTGGTGTCACAGACTGTGTCTGTAATGTACAGCTTGATAATGTTAGATGATCTCCAAAGTCAAGGTAATGTCAATGACATTTTCCTTCAGAAGTCTTCTTCCACTATGGATTGCATTTTCTAAAATCCATATAAATGGAATTTAGTAGACACTCCTTTTGGCTTCCAGTGGCTTCTTGCAGCATAATTATTTGAAGATTTATCGGTATCATCACAGTTATTAACAGCTCGTTCCATTTTCTGGATGAAGAGCCTGCTGTATGAGTGTCTCACACAATTTGCTTTTCTCTTTATCTATTGATGGGAAGGCAGTTGCTTCTGGTTCAGGGAAATTGTAAGTCTTTGAGTGGATGTGTTTTCATCTTCTTGAATTCATTCCTAGGAGTGGAATGGCTGGGTCGTGTGGCAGGTATGTTGCATTTTAATTTTATTATTATTATTATTTTTCCCGAGACAAGGTCTTTTTTTTGTTTTTGTTTTTGTTTTGAGACTGGGTCTCACTATGCCGTTCAGGCGGGTCTTGGGTTCACTTTGTAGCCTAGGCTGGCCTTGAACTCCCAAGGATCCTCCTGCTTCAGCCTCCTGAATGCTGGGATTACAAGCATGTACCACCACGCCCAGCTGTTGGAGACAGGGTCTTGCTGTATATTATAGGCTGGCCTTGAACTCCCTGTGTAGCCCGGGCTGGCTTCAAATATGAGGTGATCCTCCTGCCTCACTGTTGGGGTCACAGAGCTGAAGGAGTATTTTCTCTGGCGAGGTCCCCAGAGAAAACAAAGCTTGCAGAGGCGGCTGCAGCAGCTACAGCAGCGTGTTTTGCTATTCAGCCTCTGCATAGTGGCCTCAGTTTACGTTCTGGCTGTTCTGGCGCACTGCTCTAACCACGGCACGTGCGTGGCGGTCTGTGCTCAGTCCTGCTTGTGTACATGAACCCCTTTGTGTAGCTATACTAGGCAGCAGGGTTATGCCCTATGCAGCCTTTGACATCCCTGGTTTGGAAGCAATAAAAGTGGCTCCCCACATTCAGCCTCCCGAGTGCTGGAACTTCAGGGGTGCGCTACCACACCCAGCTGAATTTAAATGGGGTTCTTACATGTTGCTTTGCACTCTTGGGCTCCAGTGCTTTTCCTGCCTCAGCCTCCTGTAGCAAAAAGTTCAGTGCTACCCTGGCCAGTTGAAACTGCCAAACATTTTCTCCAAATAGTCATACCAGATCTCCAATAGTAGCAAATGAGAATGTGTGTATCTCCACAGCCTGGCAGATATTTGCCATGCTCAACTTTTAATTGTAGCCAATGTAGTAGCATGTTCAAATTGTGGTTTTAGTTTGTGTTCTCTAATGGCTAATGATTTGAGCATCTTTTTATTGTGATTATTATCCATGTTGAGCAAGTAGTTATTCGGTCTTTGGCTCATTTTTTTAACACTGTGTAACCCACAGTGGCCTGGAACTGACAGTGATCCTTTAGCCTCAGCCTCCTGAGTACTGGGATTACAGCCATGTGCCAGTATGGCTGGCTCGCTTTGATTTAAAAAAATCTGAAAAAAACGTGAGCATGTACTGTCTGCTCTGCTTAAATATTGTGACCAGGAAGAGTTACAGATGAGAAACTGCATCCGGGGTTGACTTGCAGAGTGAAGGAGAGAGGGCATCAGATGTGCGCAGGGACTCCAGCCCCACCCTGACTGGTGACTGCAGAGTTTCGGAAGAGCAAGCTATGAGCCCAGGATGCACAGCGCAGCGCAGGGGACCGAGCTCCAGATCTTGGCTTCAGGCAGGACAGCGGGAATGTGTGGCGGCTAGGGGTGGCTATGTGCTGGTGGTACTTCCTCTCAGCAGAGGAGCATTTCTGATGTTCTGTTTATTTATTTTTGTGGTACTGTATGATTGAATCCAGGGTGTTCACACTGCCTTTGCCTTTCGTCCTTTAGTTTATCTATTTATTTTGTCCTTTGAGACAGGGTCTCTATGTAGTTCAGGCTGACATTGAACTTATTTTGTAACCTGGGCTGGAATAGAACTTGCAGGGATCCTCCTGCCTCAGCCTCCCATGTGCTGGGATTATAGATAGGGATGTGCAATCAAAATCAGTTTTGTTGTTTTTGTTTTTGTTTCTTGAAGATGGGGTCCTGCCATGTAGTTCAGGCTGAGCTTGTACTCACTTTGTAGTTCAGGCTGGTGTGGCACTGGCAGCAACCCTCCTGCCTCAGCCTCTTGAGTGCTGGGATTATAGGTATATGCCAACACTCCCAGCCTTGCTGTCCTAATTACATGTTTATTTGGTTTGTTTTATATGTAAATTTATGAATAATGGCTTCATAAGGGAGCTGTAAGTGAATGTACAGTGGGTTTATGCAAATATAATAAGCTCATGTAGTCAGTCTAGCCTAATAAATTCCTTCTTACCCAGGTGACTGTTATCTTTTGATGAATGTCTGAGGCATTTTGCAGAAAACAAAAGTGCATTCTGGGATTTCAATTTCCAAAATAGGCTCTGGACTGTTTTCTTGAATTATGAAAGCCTGGATTTTTTTTTGGCCTGATTTTTTTTTTTAAACTTTTATTTTGGATTAATTTCAAACTCTAAAAAAAGTTATGAATATAAAAGCTGGGAGTGGTGGCTCACGCCTGTAATCCCAGCACTTGGAAGGCTGAGGCAGGAGAATTATTGTGAGTTTGAGACCAACTGGGGCTACAAAGTGAGCTCAGGCCTGGCCTGAACCATATAGCAAGACCCTGCCTCAAAAAGGCCAAATAAAAGTTATAAATGTAAAAATTTTACGCAGAATACCTGTCATCCCATTATCCAGATGCCTGTACTATCAACACTTATCTTATTTGTCTTATTTGGGAACCATTTGCCCCTAACATCTTTAGTGTATATTCTGTTATAAATCACACTGTAGTTATCAACTTTGTGAGCACAGAGTGCTTCATTACTTTCATGCATGGTTGATTCTTCAGTTTTGTGGATTTACTAATAACATCCTGTCAGGGGCCCAAGGGAGATTTTTGCAGGTGAGGTCCCCAGGTTAAAGAACACACATGTGCAAGACATCAACAACAACAGCAGGCAGCATGGAGCAGAACAGAGCGGGGCACAAGCGTGCAAGAGCAGCCTGCATCTTTATTGTATGACTCTTTTTTTTTTTTTTTTGGTACTGGGGATTGAATTTACAACCTTGTACTTGCCAGGCAGGCGCTTATACCTCTGAGCTAAATCCCTGGCCCTATTGTATAACTCTTACACAGGTTGTTACCATGTATTTACATTCTTACATGCTAGCCTCACTGACACGGGCATAGTTGTCCACTGCTGAGTCCTGGTTACATAAATGTCTCTCACTGTGTTCTTGTGCCAGACAGCGGGGTCATATCCTCAGGTACCCTCAGATACTTCTGTGCTCTGAAGCACTCTGAGTGGTTCCCAGATGCCTTCTGTTCCATCTGGGGACAGATGTTACACTCAGAGAACCTCCTAACTGTTAGTAGTCATATGAAATCCCAGCATTTGGGAGGCAGATGCAGGAGGTTTGCTGCAAGTTAGAGACCAGCCTGGGCTACAGAGTAAGTTCAAAGCCAGGCTAAACTTACTATATAGCTAGACCCTGTTTCAAAACAACCCTCACCAAAAGAATACCTTGTACCTTATCAAAAATCCCCTTTGGATTTACTTATTTTTTTCCAGTACTGGTGTTCTCCTGTGTGAGGGCCTTTGTTCTGAGCTACGTCCTACCCTGTTTGGTTTTTTTTCCTTCTTTTTCTATTTGGAGAGAGAGTCAATAAATTGTCTAGGCTGGGTTAAAAATTTGTGATACTAATTCATGACCCTGACCCCTTGGTCTAATTTTTTGCCATGATGGTGGCAAAATATTTTCTGTTTCTGCCACCTACCTCATACCTACCAGTTGGCCCTTGCCATTCTACTATAAGGACATCTCTTTCTCCCCATTTATTGATCTATTATTGATGTGAACTTACTAGCAGTATTTTTTCAGTGGTTTCTAACTCATGTAATTATTCTGATTCTCCGGTGGCTGGTGTGAGGTGCTTGCCCAGAAATGATACCGTAGTGCCGGGGTATGGCTAGGGCACCAGACTGAGAAGCGGCCCAGCTGATGCCCGTTTGCAGGCCCAGTGAACAGCCCCAGGGGCTGGGATAGCGGCCAAAGCAAGCAGACAGACAGCATGGGAGAGGCCACAGAACATGGGCAGGGAAGGCAGCTCCACCATGAGCAGGAAGGATAGCAGTTTATGAGATCAGCCAGTTCTGTCCACAGAAAACCACTACAGAACCAGAGAAAACTTTTAAAACCACCCAGGGCTCTAGCAGTCAACCCCAAAACTGAGAAGCTGAGTGTGTTTATGACAAGCTGCTGAGCACAGAGCAGAACTGCGCTTTGCCTGGGGCCTGTCACAGTCTGCCAGTTTGGCCAGGCGCAGTGGGCCAGAAGGCTGGGCCTGGCTGTCCCGACTCTGCTTCCCTGCTGGGCTCTGCACACGGGCAGTGATTAGAAAGACAGCACAAGGATGTGAAGATGTGGAGAAACTGGGCCCCTCCTCCCTGAATGGGTAAAGTGAGCAGCTCTGTGAACAACAATCTGGCAATTTCTTTTAAAATTAAACATAAAGCTAGGTGTGATGGCACATGCCTGTAATCCAGCAGTCGGGAGGCTGAGGCATTAGGATTGTTGCAGATTCAAGACCAGCCTAGGCTACAAAGTGAATTCAAGGGGCTGGGGACTTAGCTCAGCGGCATAAGCGCCTGCCTTGCAAGCAGGCAGTCGTGAGTTTGATCCCTGGTACCGATAAAAAAGAAAAAGACAAAAAAATAAAATAAAGAAGAAACTGCTGAAAGGTTCTCTAGATGGGACCAGGTGCTCGTATCCAGTCCAGATTCACGGGTGTTGCCAAGTGTCCTTTAGCACTATTCACTGAGACCGCGGGGAAAAGGGATCCAGGGAGGGTCAGACGCCTCAGTAGCTGTCAGTGTTGGCTGGAAGTTGAATGCAGATTAGCCCAAAGCTTTTGGTATGAACATGTTCTGAATTTGAGCAGTGGTAATGGTTCCACAACTCTGTATGTCTACAAGAAACAACTAAGTCATTTAATTGAAATGGTCAAACTTCATAGTTTGTAAGTTGTATCTCAGTTTTTTTTTTTGGTACTGAGGATTGAACTCATGACCTCATGCTTGCCAGGCAGGTGCTTATGCCCCTGAGCTACATCCCCAGCCCTTTCAATACTGTTTTTATATAAATTGTGTCACACCACAGTTGGTAGCATGAACCTGTACTCCCAGCTACTCAGCAGGCTGAGGTAGGAGGGTCACTTGAGCCCAGTGGTTTGGGGCCTGCCTGAACAATTGTTTTGTTTTTTGTTTTTTCTTTTTTGAAACAGGATCTCACGATGTATTGGCCTCAGACTCTCAGGGATCCTTCTGCTTCAGCTCCCACGTACTGGGATTACAGAAGAATAGTTTAAAAATATTATTAATGAGTTTTTCAGGAAGCACCAGGAGGATGCATCTAGCAATTTAAATACTAAATCATAAGAAGCGGGAAGATGTTACGTTAAGAGGAATTAAAATGTCTATACAAAGAGTTTTATGGTGTACATCATGTATCCCATTTTATATCATAATAGACAAAAATTGGTAACAGCCCACATGTCTGTTACCTGTGAATGGCTAGACCTTGGTATTTTCCCACAGTAGAATATTACTGCCCTGTCTTACTTTTCTCATTGCTGAGACAAAATACCCAACACCCAAGTTAAAGGAAGAAAGGTTTTTTTGGCTCACAGTTTGTAGAAGTTTCAGTTCACAGTTGGTGGGCTTTGAGACAGGGTGAGATGGCAGAGGGGGATGGCAGGCAGAAGGCAGCAATCTACAACCCTTTCCTGTCCCCTATATTTTATCTCAGTTCTGTTCCCTAGAGATGGGAAGCACTCACACCCAGGGTGGGGCAGCCATAATCCTACCCAGAACAGTGCCAAACCAGCCAGGGGACTGATTGAGTAATTCTTGATCCCAGCACCACACACCCTAGACCCAGCCACCTCTGAAAAGCCTCTGACCCAATAAGGTTTGGGGGCACATCTAGACCCTTGCCATAACGTGCTCAACAGTTAAACAAGCTAATAAATGTTAGGATATGGATGAGGACATAAAATGATGGGTTTATTGAAAGAAGCCAACTCAGGGCCGAGGATTTAGCTCAGTGGCACAGCACCTGCCTGGCAAGTATGAGGTCCTGAGTTCATTCTCAGTACTCCTCCCCCCAAAAAAACCCAACAGAAGATACTGTGCAATAATCTCATTTTATCCATTGGGTGTGTTCTAAGATATTATTCAGATACCCTAAACTTCAGATAGTAATACTGTATGTATGTTTTTCCCAGTACAGATACACTTTGATAGTTTATAAATTAGGTATAGTAAGAGATTAACAATAATAGAAAAATTATAACAATCTACATTAAAATTATTATTGTTGTCTTTTTTTTTTTTTTTTTTGGTACCAGGGATAAACTCATGACCTTGTGCTTGCCAGGCAGGCACTGAGTTGAGCTAAACCCCTGGCTATTATTTGTCTTTTTTTTTTTTTTTTGTCTTTTTCCTTTTTATCGGTACCAGGGATCGAACATACGACCGCCTGCTTGCAAGGCAGGTGCTTGTGCCGCCGAGCTAAATCCCCAGGCCCTATTATTTGTCTTTTTGAGACGGGGTCTCCATATGCACTTCAGGCTGGCCTTGAACTCACTTTGTAGCCCAGGCTGGTCTCAAACTTGCAACAATCCTGCGTCAGTCTCCTGAGTGCTGAGACTACAAGCATATGCTGCCACACCAGGCTTAAAAATTATTTTAAATTTAGGAATTTAAAAAAATTTTTTTTAGACAGGGCTTGGTTATATAGTTTGGTCTAGCCTTGAATTCACTATGGAGTCCAGGCTAGCATTGAACTCACCATACCCTCCTGCCTCAGCCTCCTCAGTGCTGGGATTATAGTTATGTACCATCAAGTCAGCCTTAAATTTATGAATTTTTATTTCTGAAATTTTCTGTTTAGTATTTCTGGACCATGGTGACTGAGGCTAGCTAAAACCACAAAAAGCAAAATCTCAGGTAAGGGGGACTACTGTATACTATATGATTCCATTAATGTGAAAGTGTAGGAAAGACAAATTTTATCTATAGAAACAGGAAATGGGAGGTTTTACATAGGCCTGGCTGCAGGGATTGATTGGGAATGGATATAAATAAAGAAATGCATATATATATATATTTTTTTTTTTTTTTTTTTTTTTTTGAGACAGTCTTGCTATGCAGTTCAGGCTGGCCTTGAGCTCACTTTGTAGCCCAGGCTGGCCTCGAACTCACAATGATTCTCCCACCTCAGCCTCCCCGAGTGCTGGGATTACAGGCGCGAGCCACCATGCCTGGCTATATATATATATATATATATATTTTTTTTTTTTTTTTTTTTTTTTTTTTTTTTTTGAGGAGGGTGGTAAATACAATAAAAACTGAGCCAATATGGTGGTCCATGCATGTAATCCTAGCACTCAGGAGGCTGAGACAAAAGGATTATCTTCAGTTCAGGGCCAGCCTGCACTACATAGCAAACCCTGGCCTCAAACTTAACAGCTGTAACCTCAGAGGTCATGTCAGAATTGGGTCAAAGGTGAGGTGGTGCCAATGGAAAGGACATCACTTTAGGTGTTGGAGAATGCCAGGAGTGGGTTGGGATCAGGAACCTTGCCAAGGTGGCCTGCCCTCCTGTGATGGTGGTACATGGTCTGCATTTTTTTTTAACATCATGGAACTCTACAATGAAGCTGATTATTTTTTTCAAGAGGCTAAAGATTGCTGGGGACTTAGCTCAATAGTGTAAGTGCCTGCCTGGCAAACACAAGGTTGTAAATTCAATCCCTGGTAGCAAAAAAAAAAAAAAAAAAAAAAAAAGCTAAAGATCTAGGAGGGCCAAGTCCAGAATGGGGGCGCGGTGGGGGTGGCAGTTAAAGAGCAGGCCGAGAAGGCTATGTGGTCACTCTGAAGCAGGAAGACAGGCCTCCTGGCAAACTCCCTGAGAGCAAAGCAGCTTTTGTGTGTCCATACCTATGTTTGTGCTGGCGCCTACACCCCGGCACTGGAACATACTAGGTGAGCTGTCCACCTGCGACACACCACCAGCTCCTTTCATTTTTTGGAACAGGTTGCCCTTGAGTTGCCCAGGCTGGCCTTGCACTATGGTCCTCCAGAGAGAAGAGGTCTGTGCTCGAGACCCAGGTGCCCTCCGCCTGGACCCGAGGAGCGGGGGAATCTGAAGCAGCTGCAGGTGATGAGTCATCTGGAAGACGGAGCAGCTGCCTGTGTGTGTGTGGGGTGCTGTGAAGGGAAAGCGTAGCCTGCACTGTGGTCCTGGCCAGGGCAGCAGAAGGCTGAGACAGGACAGTGCCCTCCCCTCATTGCTTCACACCCCTAGGTGCTTGTTAGTTTCAACATGAGTCTGTTCCTAATACTCAGGAAGAGGCCTCAGATATAAACTGTGAAGGAAGGTAGGGGCTGAGGTCGGTGAACTGATGTCCTAATCCAGGGACTGCTGGTGCAGGTGGCTTAGTGGGAGAGAGCTGGCTTACAGGTGGGAGGGTATCCCCAGTATAGAATAAAAATATAAACCAATGCGAAAAGGCAAACCCCAGAACAAAAAACGGACAAATGACACAATTCTTGAGGAAATACATATGATTAATGAACATGCAAAATGTTTAATTTCACTCCCATTAACATATTTTTTTGCCTATTGATTCAACAATGCCAGAGTTGTGTGGTGGAAAGATAGCCATTCGCAGCCTAACCAGTAGGAAAGGCCAGGCAAGACCAGGTGCCATCTCTGGTATGTTCATCTTCTCTTCTACACCAAGGAGGGCCCAGCTGGGCCAGGGAATGGTGGTGCACAACTCCCCAGGTAGTGGAGAGGCTGAGACAGGAGGATTGTGACTTTGAGGCTAGTTTGGGCAATTTTATGAGTCTGCATTTTTTTTATTGGTACTGGGAATCGAACTCATCACCCTGCACTTGCAAGATGAGCTAAATCCCCAGCCTTGAGACTCTGTCTTAAGAAAATACCTTAGTAATCATTCTTTCTCAATATGTATATAACTTAATGCTTGCAACAGTATACAATCATATAGATAGCTTACAGTTTATGAATCACTTTTCTAAGTATGTGTTAGATTATGTTCAGAATTTTTTTCTACAAATAATGCTGCAACGCATTTATTCTGTCAATGCGTTTATATATAAGCACTGTACATGGTTATACACTATAAGTGGTGGATAGACAGTAAAGATACATATTCCTGAGATGAAATTGTTAGGTCAAAGGGTAAGTGTACTTTATTTAGGTTTCTTTTGAGACAAGGTCACACTATGTAGTTCAGGTTGGCCTTGAACTCACTCTGTGGTGCAATCTTTTTGCCTCAGCCTCCCAAGTGCTGGGATTATAAGTGCGAAACACCACACCTGGCCTGGTGTGTATTTTTAAATGATCCAATAGAATATCTGGCATGCAGATATTCCAGCTGAGAACACCCGAATGTGTTCTATGTTTCTTTCTTTTTTTTTTTTAATGCGTTCTATGTTAAGAGTCACAGGTGTGGGCTGGGGATTTAGCTCAGTGGCGTAAGTGCCTGCCTTGCAAGCAGGGAGTCATGAGTTTGATCCCCAGTACTGATAAAAAAAAGACCAAAAAAAAAAAAAAAAAGTCACAGGTGTACTGGCTAAGACTGACTTGTTGGAACATGAGCTTATGCAATTTACAAACCTTCTCCCAGAACAGAACTTTTTGCAAGTTCAGGACTTACTGTATGAATAATTTGTTTTGAAAACCACTATGCAGATTATATCTTAAAAGTCAGAATACACTCAGCATCCCATCTCTTCTGCATCTAAGAACTGCAGCTCTTCTCTTTTCTTTTTTGATGTCATGGACTTCTGGGCTCAAGAAACCGTCTTTCCTCAGTCTCCGAGTAGTTGGGACAGGCATACACCTGGCTCCAGTTACTTCCTTTAACAAACTAATACCTCAGAGTGCCTTTGGGATTGTAAAGAAAATATCTCATTCTTCAGGGTTTTGTCCTCAGTTTACTTTTTTGTGTGTGACACTTGCTATGTGACACTTGCTATGGAGTTCAGGCTGGCATTGAACTCACTACGTATCCCAGGCTGGCCTTGAATTCATGGTGTTCTTCCTGCTTCAGCCTCCCTGGTGCTGGGATTACAAATGTGTGCAACTACACCTGGCTCTCAGGTTTCTTTGAAGATAACTGTAAGAAATCCCCATCTCATGTCCTGCTCTATCTTGGCCCCAAACTCGGGATCAGTGCTGCTTGATTTCCTTCTTCCAGGGTGCTGCAGTTTAGCTGCAGCCCCACCCAGGCCAAAATCTCAGTTATGGTTTCTGTTCCTGCCTTTCCCTATCCTCCTGGATCCATGGGACTGCTTCAGCATCAACATTTTCTGGTTTTCTTTCTATAGATTCTGCCATCTCCTAGTTCTGCCTTTTATTAACTGCAAGAAGTGGCTTTCTAACTGGCCTCAGAGGCTGTAGGATTCTCTTTCAAGACCTCCTGGAATAGTGTTAATGTTAAATGTCTCTGAACATCTGCCTCACAATCAAAATTTAAATCATAATCCAATGCCCTTCTCCAGCCTCGGCACCCCTGCATGCACCACTCCCCGCTCAGGGACCAGCTTCCTGCTTTAGCATACACTCTTCCCTGAAGAGAAGCCTTCCTCCAGGCTGGGTATATATTTCAGTGGCACAGCGCCTGCCTGGCAAGCATGAGGTCATGAGTTCAATTCCTGATTTAAAAAAAAAAAAAAAAACATTTTCCTCCAACGTTGTAGAGCCTGCCAGCCCCATTCCAGCTTTATCTCTTTCCCTGTTCTGTTTTTTTGAGATGGAGTGTCGCTATGCTTTTTTTTTTTTTTGACAGGGGTCTCAAACTCAAGGCGATCCTCCTGCCTTAGCCTCCTGAGTACTGGGATTGGAGCATGCATCACCATGCCTTGTCCTAGTCCCCTTCAAAAACTGAGGCAGGATTTTAGTATTACTGAGGCTATGCTCAAACTTGTGATCCTCCTGCCTCAGACTGTCACCAGGAGCTTGTGCCATCACACTTCTCCATAATATTTACTAATGTTCGAGAACGGATCTTATTATGTTGCCCAGGCTAGCTTCCAATTTCTGGGCTCAAGGGGTCCTCCTGCCTCAGCCTTCCATGAAAGCTGGGACTAAGAGGGAGAAGCTGGGACTACAGGCCTGATCCACCATGTCCAGCTTCAGAATTTTGTATTGGTTTAAATATCCAGTTCTCCAGGTAAATAAGGAAGGCAAAATTCTCTTAGACAAACTTAGAGGCTGAGAGCTGCAAAAGTCAAAGCACTGATCTCTCTCGTCTCCCAGGTGGCTTTAGCTACAGGTGATTACATTCGGGACCACCCCCCTACCCCACCTCCGCCCCGCAGGCCCCAGCATTAAACCTTTTGGGCCTTCAAACGGAGGACGGAGAGCAGAACCTCCTGATGTTATAAAAATCTTGGGCCACTTCATTCATTGAGGTTCTCAGTGTACTAATAACGGAAAATGTGCCAACGGCGGGTTACAAAAAAATGGATCGGAAATCGTCCCATTGCACTACCCTTCTCTCAGTCCCGTGGTCCCTGATTTTAGGGACACATCATCCCAGATCATATTATCCTGGCCTTCTTGTGCCGAGCAAGATCGCGGTCGCAGGATCCTCGGCCCAGCGCGATGGCTCTGTACGACGCAGGCTCACTGCACCGGAAGTGACCAGAACTCCCCTCCCTCCTGCACTTCACCCTCGCAGCGAGGGAAGCAGGCCCGAGGGTGATGTTCCTGCACCTGAGGGCCACGGACTAAGCCAGTAAAGTCGGGCTGCTCGCCCACTAAGGCAGCTGAGCGTCTGCGAGCGGAAACACTAACCAAGCTCGCCCCGCCCCCAGGACGCGCGCGCCCCGGGATCCCAATCGTAGCGGTCCCCCTAGCTTTTGCCCAATCAGCAGTCACTTCCTGCCTTAATCTCAACCAATCCTCACAGTCCACGAAGAATAGCCCTAGGGGGCGTATGGGAAGGTGCATAGAGCGATGGCCGCTCCGACCAACCGATTCTCGAAGCTTGCGGGAGGGGGCGGGACTTGGTGCCAGGCCGAGCTACTCAGGAGCGAGGGGCTGACGCAGGGCTGGGCCTCGCGCGGTTGGGCTCGCTCGCGAGGCCGCGGTAACCGAGGCCTCTTGCTTTAGCGGCACGTGACGGTCGGGCCACCTCCGCGGCTGTCTGCACTGCAGCGCGGGGCCAGGTGTGCGGGTAGGAGAAGGCACGGGCACCGCGGTTGGCCGCAGGGGCTGTAGGTGAGACGCAAGGGGCCTGCCCGCGCCTCGGGCCGTGGCGGACCGCGGGGGCCTGGCAGCGCGGCGCCGCGGCGGGGGGCTCGGGCGTGTCCGTGCCGAGGGGCCGGGGCCGGCGCCGGCCGAGCCTCTGACGGCCGGCGCGCTCCTCTCTCCCGGTCCGGGTCCCGGCGGCCAAGCCAGGCCCCGCCGCTGTCCGGGAGGCGTGGCAGGTGTCCGGGTTCGCTTGACCTCTGGAGACGCGAACCTGGGCCAGGACGATGTTTTCAGGGTTTTCCTGGGCCTGCGGTGTGCGGGCTGCCCGGCCTCCCGGGTCTGGAGATCGGGCCTGGCCTCTGTCCCCTAGGCCGAGGCCGGGGAAAAGGCGTGGTAGCGGGGGTGCGGGTTGTGGGGAAGGGACCCCACGGCCCAGTCTGGGTCCGGGAGCGCGGGGAATGTTCTGGAACTCGTGGCGGCTGCCACGCGAGTCTCAGAATCGTGGCACTGGCTCGGGGTGAGGCTGAGCCCGCCGCCGAGGCAGGGCCGTTCTCGAGAGTCCCGAGGCGCCAGGCCACCCGGGCCGCAGACAGGGCTGGCCTGCGTCGGTTTGAAGACTGGGGTCGGCTCCAAGCACCGGGGCGGCCGTTTGTTGCTAGGTGGCTCTGGGTAGTTTCCTTGTTCCTGGGCCCCAGCGCCCCGTAGGAGATAATGGTGGAGTCGTGAGGATTAAATAGGGATGTGTGCAGAGTGAGACAGTGGCCTGATCTGTGGTAGCTCCCCCTTAAGTGATAGTGATATAGAGTACAGAGCCTTGAGCCACTTTCCTGATGGCCCAGGCTAGGAGCCGGCTGAGTCCCGCTTCTCAGGCTCCGAAGTCTCATTGATGGCGGTGGAGGGCGAAGCTGCCCTTGTGGTAATCTACTGGGAATGACAATAGCAAGCTGTTGAGGGACGTTCCGGGCAGTCAACGGTGAACCTGGAGAGGACAAAGGTGAACGCAGTGAAGTCGTTACCTTCACTTTACGAAAGAGTTGCTTAATTTTTTTTTAAAATAAAGTTTTGTGTGTGTTTTTACGAGGAAGAATTTTGTTAATCTTTACAGTTTTTTTATATTTTTAAATCTTTTCAGCAGTATTTGAGGATCATGAATAGAATCTACAGCTGTAGCTGGGTGTGGTGGTGGGTGCCTGTAATCCCAGCACTGTGGAGGCTGAGGCAGGAGGATAACTGGGAGTTTAAGGCCAGTCTGGACTACATAGTGAAACCCTGTCTCAAAAAGGCAAACAAACAAACCAAAACCCCCCCAACAGCTTGGGAATTTTGTTCTACACTAGCGATAGTACAGAAACAAGCCAGATAACTGGATCAGAGGAGGGAGGGTTAAGAGTGAAGAGAACTTTCTAACTAGACTGGAAATGGATGTCTGTATCCCTTCTCCCCCTCCTACTACTATCTCGACTCAGCAGTTCAGTTAGCTCCCTATCTTCCAGGGGCCACAAGGCCTAGACACTTTGACAAGGAGTTGGTGCAGTTCTGGCAGTCACACTGTTGTATCTCTCTAGTTAGAGTTCACCTTGCTTGCAGATGGTTGATGCTTGCAACAGTTGATGTATGTGAATGCAGGTTTCTGAGACAGTTGTGGGCTCAGTGTGGTGTGTACTTAGCTTTGGAGCCCACCTTTTTATTCCTTTTTTTTTTTTTTTTGGTATCATGGAACTCAGGACCAAGCAGGCACTATGCCACTGAGGTGTATTTCTGGCCCTTGAATTCCTGTTTAAAAAGGTGGGCTTCATCAGCAGTAACAGTGCCTGCCTGGCAAGCACAAGACCCTGCGTTCCATTTCTGGTAATAAATAAGTAGAAATGCGAATCTCCTATACTTCACCTTGAGGGGCAATTAGAACAGAAAGAGAACTTGGTGAATAGGAAGTTATTTTGAAAATCTTAATGAACAGTGCAAGAATTGGCAGCTCATATAGCACCTAGGAAGTCATATAGCACCTAGGAAGTCATGCCTAAGTAGTTTTAATCTGTACAGCTTACTATAAAACTTAGCAAGTGCTTTATTATGACAACAAAAGTACTTTTTTATTGAGCTTAACTATGAGCTGTAAAAATTACTGAAATTTTAAAGGAATTTAGCATATTTTGAGTATTCACATCCTAAACCTACTTAATTTATTTAAAACTACTATCAGAAATATATTTTAATGTTCCTGTCAATGAAAATACAATCCAAAAAATGTAGGATATATACTTCCAATAATCAACACTTGGAGTATCATGTATTTTATTTTTTTTTAATCACGTATTTTCTTAATTTTTTTTTTTTGACAAGGACTTGCTGTGTAGGCTTCGAGTGCTGGGATTACAGGTGTGTGCCACCAATGCCTGGCTTCCTTAAATGTTTTAACTTTACATGTGTTCTATTTATATATCAATCCTAAGGGATAGATGCTATCATCATTTTATAGATGAAGAAATTGATGCCCAGTGTTTAGTGATTCAGCCAAGATAAGTTATTAAGTAGGTGACCGAGATTGTGGTTTGAGTTTCTATAGCTATGACCTTGGGCAGATTACATAATTTGTAAAAGCGTGCATATACTTTAAAGAGATGTGCAAGGTTCTTGTGAAGATTGTTAGGCTACCTTGGATGTTTTTTAAAGCCCACAAAATTTAAAATATTTAAAGAGGCCACTGGATGGATAGTTTACATGAAAGGAAGACCACTTTTTTTTTACCTTTACAACCACTTAATATAAACATCCAAGAGTGTCGTGAGTGTCTAGAGCACTCTGAACTCCGGGCAAGGTAAACACGCACGCCTTGTCGGGACACGGGGGGTACAGCGCTTGGAAAAGAAAGACAGGAGAGACACCTTTGCTGTCTGCACCGCGTTACACTGCACTGCACTGCACTGTACGCACAATCTTTATTTTAGGATTCATATATAGTAAACCCGATCAATTCACAGAGCCCAGATAATTAAGTAGTGAAAAGGCATTCTTTGTGGCAAGCTACAACGTGACAGACTACAATGTTTATTCTAAAACTATCTAAGTGAAGTAAATAATCACAACCAGTTCTCACAACTTCTCTAGCCCAGGAAGAAATTCATTAGCTCAAGAATGTTGTTAATTTGTCTGCTGTTAGTGTCACAAAGGGTGGCCAGCCACTTCCTCAAGACTTCTGCAAAACAAAGCCAGCTCACAGTATGGATTCCAGAGGGTGAGGGCTCACTGAGAACAGGCATTCCCGTTCTACCTCCTTCTCGCATACCAGGGCGGCTATTGTAAATTGCAGGTTAGAGGGGGTTGGGCCTACAAAGTGACACCTCATCCCCCACACTTCCTTCCTTTTTATTTTTTAACAACAATTTCCATAAGATCAGGTTATTAATAGCATTTCGTCTTATGCAGTAAAAATACACAAGAACTATGGCAATGAGAACTATAATTAAACTAAGTCCCATGCCACTAAAAGTGTGGGTAATGCTCTGCCAGATTCCTTTGGAATCTAATCCTTTCAAAGATTGAGCAAGCAATTGCGCGAATTGTGCTAGGGATTCATCATCATTTTGCTTTGCAAAATCCTTGTCAATTTGATTATGCAAAGATTCTATTTCCTCCTGGGCAGAGGTGTTTCCATTTAGATACATTCTAATCATTTCCCATTCATGTTCTGTTTGATTATAAGGTCGTTGGGTTATACAGAAAGTAGTTGAATTCCAATCACATTTTAAAAACACTTGATGCTGAAGAGCCAATATTTTTCTACCCATCCATTCAACTGTTTGTTTAAGGAGGTCTATTTGTTGTTGTAGTTTGGCGTTTATTTGCCACTGAGTTAACCAAAGTTCATGAGAATTCTCATGCCATAATTCGACAACATGTTTTTCTTGCAAAGAGGTATGTAAAGCTACTCCTGAGACTGCTGCTAGAGAGGCTACAGTTATCAGACTTAACAGTACAGCAACCACTATTCCAATAAATCTTTTTGTACGTTTTAACAGATGTTTAAAAAATTCAGTAGTAACAGAAATTACCGGGTCTTGAGACCATGGTCGAGTTAAATTTACAGGCAACCAAATATGAGTTTTTTGTTGTAACAGCATAACTGTATAAGGCTTAGTGAAATTTAGTGTGCTATTTAAGCATGTAAACAATTGACAATTTAAACAAGTACAAGAAAAATGTGTAAAATTAAAAGTTCCCACTAAAAAGACATAAGGCAGAGGTGCACAAACAGTAATATTATACATTTTAAACCTAGTAAAATTATAATTAGTAGATACAGATCGACTAGTCCCTGAATATGAAACATTGTACAAGGTTACAGGTTGCATAGCGGCTGGGATCTTCCAAATATGATTTTGAAGGTGATGAGGGTATTCTTCGGCTGCAACAGCAGGGTTAGCGATTCCACCATCTCCCCACCACAAGAGAGCCGTCTTTTGTTGAAATATAGGAGCTCCGTCAGTTATTTTCTTTGGATCTGGAAGACTATACACAACAGAGAGATTACATCTTGTCTCATTCCATTCAGCACATCCATTAACGAATTTTCCAAATGGTCCCCAAATAATATACCCATCAATATTTTTAGCAAATTTTCCCATACATAGTTGCCAAATTATGGGATTATAAGAAATATTTTTATAAGTGAATTCAGGGCATACAGGAAATGTATTTGTATCAGGTGCTGTTAAATTTTTCCAGGTAACATTAAAGGTTTGAGCAGCCAAGGCTTGAAGCCTTGTCCTTTTGTTGCCTGCTTTTATTCCATGTTGAATCCAATACTGCCATCCCAGAGGGATGCAAGGCGGTTCCCCAATGCAAATAGGCCTTTGATTACCATAATAAGTAAAATTGAATAGTGTCCCATCATCTTGATTGTGGGGGGTTAAATCAGCCCACGGTGCTGACAAAATTTCTCTAGGTGTGGTATAAAGTAAAATATCACTAGTTCCCCATTTTACAGGTTCTAATAAAGGGGGGTTTGGAATATATGCCCAGTACGAATG